GGTATATAGAATGCTGGTAATATGGGATGTCTACGTGAGTTTGCCAGGTTGGGTGTATGCAGGGATTGATGTGCTCAATTGGGATCGACGCAAATGTATTTGGTTCCATCCTATTGAGGAAAGTAAGGGTTATAAAGCCTCAAGGAAGGATCCCAAAGGTTCGAGTCCGTCACCGCAAGAAACGTGTCCCATCATCGTCTCGAAGCTTGACTCTCACCGCGTGCGCACTGTCGACATACAGGCCTGGTTCTCCTGGTATCCATAAATACTTTCGTCTGTTACGCTCTAATCAAACACGACCCCAAGTCTCAACTGCTACGTTTGGGCGTTGATATACACAGTCTTATTGACATGGAGCTTCAGTTCGTTCGCGTGCTCTTACAGCAAGTCGAAAGCCTGAGCTCTTTGCTGCAAGGGACCTTGAGGATAAATGCAACATGCCCCGCAATACAATACAGCCACCCTTATCATTCTGGTCAACATCATCGACGTGTCCTCGAAGAGATTATGGGAAGACAAAACCCTACTGGAAACCTGATTTGGCGGAGCGATGCGGCGAAGTTGCTGGTGTTCAAGCGGCTTGGACGATATGATGCGGCCCATGACCGCGGCTGGAGTCCCGGTCATGCTCGTTTCCGCCGCAACAACGTTGTGCCGACGTTGGCCAGGCGATAGCGATTCGCCCCCTTGCGGTGAACACTGCTATTATGTGTCTTCATCCTCTCGAGCTTTCTGCTCCGTGTCAACAAACCATACGTCGCGGTGGCGAGTAGCTATGATCTCGTGGCGAAACTCTCGGTTGATGTCTGGTGGGCGGACTTGAATGGGTACGTGGGAGTTGAAGAAGTTGACGGAGTCGTTCGGCCTGTTTTTGGAGTCTTCTTCTGTTTTGCGATGTTTGGATCGATGTTCATCGTGCTAGGTTCAAACTTGTGTCGCCACGCGGGAGTCGAATTGTTCTCGGGGGTTGATGGGCGTGTTTATCAGATCCACACCTGTGCTGCAATATCTTGATCGGTCGGAGGCATCTCGGGGTCAATCAGAGGCGACATGTGGCCGTCTCCTGCCAAGTTCAAGAGCAATTTCAAGTGTTTGATAATGGCTTCTCGAATGTGAGGCGCCATGTCTACCCAAACCGTCCACCCAATGCAAGAACCATGCCAGTCTCCCTACGACATCTTCGCTCACGGCCATCTACCACCAACCGCCTCAGTCGAATACAATCCAGTCGACGCATAGCAGTCTAAGGCTCTGACCAGCCTCATCTTGCGTTTCAGTCGTCTTCGCAGCCTTGTTTCTACTGATCCGATGCTTCTTGTCGGTCTCAGACTCAATAACCCAGCCCCGCGTTGGGTTTCTCCAGCCCTGATCACCGCCGGCATTCTCATCCCTCTGGCCCAGTTCCCCTCATCGAGAATGGCGAGGTGCACGAGGGCAAAATGGATCTCGGCTTCGTATCTGCTCCTTTCCCCTGCCTCGGCAGAAATAACATGATGCGGTATGTGAGGGCCAGCTTCTTGAGTTGGTCCCGGTAGTGCCCCGGGCAGAGGCAAGCAGCCGGTGCGCACGTGTTGCTGGCAGCCTTGCCCTTTTTCTGTACATTTCGAGGCGTCTGCACCATTTCCGACTTGCCAGCACACGGGGACACGTTCAGGAACTCATGGAGAGTCATATATTTATTGTGAACTGTGTGAATATCCTTCTGCAGGAAACGTTCCGCTTGTGCGGATGCATGATCTCGATATCCACCGAGTATTTCATCGTATGGGGAGACACCCGTGGGGAGAGGACTGCTCAAGGCTGGGTTAGTTGTTGAGGAGCTCCAGTCGAAGAGAGGTACCAGGCAGAGCGCGAAGGCAGTGATGAACGTGCGGTTAATCGGCATCTCGAGTTTGGTGGTGCAGTTGAGTAGTGATGAGGCAGAATCTTCCGCACACTCACGGGTATTTGTGTAAGTCAACGAGAAAGCTTGATAAAAGACTGAGGACAATTTCTGCGACGTCTTCCACCCGAAAGATAGGTAAAGACAGGAACCTGTTTACTGCATTTATCTGAAAAGAACATTCGACGACCCAACCTCCCGCTGTGGATTACAACTTTGTCTTCAGAACGTCTTGTCTAGCTGAAACCAGCTGCATCGGCGGTGTTTGTTATGGGAACGTGAAGGAATTATGCCCCGTGCTGTGGTATGGCTGGATTGACAGGCGAGAGGGAATGGAAGAGGGAAGACACGTGACCGCGCACCGGCTTGGGATTCTTCAACTCGAATGCGTCGCCGGCGGCCGAACCCCCCTCCTTCTTCCGGAGTCCGAGGCCAGAGAGCCCCTCGCACACCAGCCGTCACAGGCGAACAACCATGTTTCATGAGGGCGCACGAGTTGGGAAACGTAGAGATAAGGGGATGATAACTCATGAACCGGCCCAGCACGAATGCGAACTCTTCCCAGAGAGGCACATGCATGCACGCCACATAGGTTATGATCAACCGTTTGTGTTCTGTGCACTCTGCAGAGTCTGTCGAGTTGCCCGGCTGCGGCGCGTTATTCCCTTGGCCAAGCTTGCCCAATGCTCCGATCCTTTCCAAACTCGCTGGTCGTCGCGGTTTCGCCCTTGACGAAGTCAATACTCCCCAAATCGTCGGTTCAATCCTTCGTTCCGTCAACCGATGTCTTCCAGAACCATATCAGTCGTGTTTTTCCCAGTTCAGCCGTATCCCTTGGACTTTCAGACCAACCCGAACCGGCCAGCCGCTTTTGCCAAGGCAGTCTTGTCGCCACTGTAGGCAATCCCAAGCAGAAACGCAGACGAGGCCCCGTAGTGGAATGTTTGGTGACGGGGACGGCTGCCCATGGGGTTAGGTACTGCTTGGAACGCAGCCAGTCAGGTTGTTCGGCAGCCAGCGGTGTAGGCCTACCAGACCGCGTGTTTTTCTCCGCTGATGAGGCTCTTCAAGTATACCAAAGGATCAAGGGCCTTTTGACGTCTCTGGTCCTTGAGAGACCCATGGGGGTCTTCAGAAACGTTTCACTTGCCCTCGGGAACAAAGGATCCAAGTCGCACTTTATCGAATGGTAGCAGCCCCCGTGGCTGGCTGCGGTGTCTTTGTGAGACCAAGGCTAATGCACCGATATCCACAGCATAGTTGATTCTCAACGGCAGCCCGAATCGTTCGTCGGATCTCATGATTTGCAGAGACAGTAGAGTGTTACCCAGGGATTGAACCGTGATCTTCAATTTCGAACTCCCTCTGTGGTTTTGACCGTGATCACGGAATGGGTCTCGGCGATGATGCTGTTCCTCGGAATCTTCCCGCATGTTCGGGGCCGGCAGGGAAGCCAAGGACGGTCCCATCTCGATCTGCATGAGTCTAGGCGACGTTCGCTTTGCATGTGAGGCCTGGAGGTGTCCTCGCCGTGGAAGGCAAAAGGTTCGCTGACAACAGAATCAAGTCCTTTTCGACGACGGCGGGTGACCGACCGACGGGTAGCCAGCCTTGGGTTTGTTGCTGCTGGGAGAGGTGTTGGCGCTTGGCGGGTAGTTGATGTTGTTGACGAGTGTCGTAGGGACGACATCTGCCCCTAACTCCTTTGCCAGAAGCTAGGCGTGTCTTGTGATCGGGTCTGGCGGCGTCAAGTTGATCCTTCGGCTGGTTGAAGTGGCCGTTTTCGGTGTGGGGTGATCGGACTCGGAGCCAGGATTAGCTGGGGGTTCGAGCTTTCTTTTCGGACGAGGTGCATAAGCGCAAGTAGGCTTCTGGCTACAACATGTCAGCGTCGCCCAGCTTTCGTCGGGATGCGGCTACTTGGAGTTGTCGAGCTCGCAATAATTGTACTTCAATGGTTCTAGATCAACCAAAAGGTGTGGTGTGGTACAGAATGATTGTCAGTTCGGGTCGTGGTCGATAGAGGAACGTGCCCGGAAAGGTGGCAGGCGGGAGGTCCATGGTAGGTGGTAGGTGGTAGGTGGTAGGTGGTAGGTGGTAGGTGGTAGGTGGTAGGTGGTAGGTGGTAGGTGGTAGGTGCGAGGTGGTAGGTGCGAGGCGGTAGCTCCGAGGTAGTAGCTCTGAGGTAGTAGCTCCAACCTAAAAGGTGGTAGGGAGGGAGCCTACCTCACCATTTACAATAGCCAAGTGCTAATTTCCATCTCGTGCCAGAATCGGCAGATGGCCCTAGTAACTTACGGCGTACTAGAAAGAAAATCAATATCTCCTAAACAATTCTCTTCTCAAGTGCGCCTCAATAATGTCCCCATTTCTCCGCTACGAATCGAGACATTCGATTGTGCCTAGGGGAACACATGGCGGGGGCACGTACCGTTCTTGGGATCTGGCCTGGCCCGTGCGTCGGGGAACAGTGGTTAAGGCCCTAAAAACGATGCATCCTCTCTCTGGGCACTGTAAGTACAGCGCACTGGGTCGGACCTTCCAGCTCAACCATATTCAGAATGGTTGCAGCAGGTGTGACCTCGGAAAATGGTCACAGGAGATGTGAGCACTAGAAACGGTCACTGCAGGTGTGACCGCCAGAGATGGTCACAGCAAGTGTGACCACCGAAAATGGTCACAGCAAGTGTGACCACCGAAAATGGTCACAGCAAGTGTGACCACCGAAAATGGTCACGGAAGGTGTCGGGTGACCGCCCGGCTGGCGGATGCACGCCAGAATTCTTTCTCACCAACCTCAACGAACATCCTCCACTGTGTATGGAAGCATTCCCAAGGAATGGAAACAGCTACTTTCGAAATGCGCTGCGCCATATGTATATACGATGGGAGTCACATGATCAGTTACACATGTCCTCTGCAGCCCTCGTCTCCGGCCGTGTCAGACCCTTCGCGGACGTGCGGGCATCAGCAAGTCCCTGAAGTAGGAGACGCGAGAATTTGATCCCTCCACTTACGACCACAAACACAGATAACAGACATCCCAGTCAGGGTGCAGCAAACAGACGATAGCTGTCAAATCACTAGTTGCAACAGATGTTCCAAAAACATTGGGTATTCATCTACTTGTCTGCCTGGACCCCCGCACGCGGGAGCTTTCGACGGAGCATGATTGTCCCTCAACGCCAGTAATGCATCCCTTTGCCCTCTCCAGCTGGATCAACTGCTTCATGATCGCCTTCTCGGCCACTTTCACACTCCGTCGAAGTTTGGTTGCCTGCTGGCGCTCCTCAGCGCTTCGTGCCGTCTGCCTTCTCAGCTCCCGTCCAGGAATCCCGACTCGAATGGACTGTTCTGCCATTGCACTCTGGGGAGACAGCCTCATGTCGTCGAGCTGATCGACGAGTCTGATCTCGTCAGCCTGGAAGATCATGGCTGCCGTCATGGCGACGTATTCGATCTGTTCGGACACCCTGTTGTAACGTAGTCCTGGGCCATTCGATTTCCAAGGGCTTTCTCCCACTAAGAGTACGGAGGATGTATCGTGCTGGTATCTTCGCCGAAGCTGCTGTTTGACGATGGTGCCTCGGTTGGAAGCCTCCGCCTTCGGTTTTCTGCCAGCCTTCTTCCTTGTTCGCACCATGCGCGTCGAGTTGTGGGAGACTTGATGGTTGTTGGATATGGAGCCAGGAATGCCATCAAGGAAGTCCGCGATGGCCTTTCCCTGGACGGACTCATCTTCCCCGTGACCAACAGACTGTACGTTGAGCTCGCCACATTCATGCCTCAGGGAGGCGGCATTTCGGCGGTGGTTGACGATTCTCCAAACGCAGAAAAGGTTATCGACGTTGTTCGGCATTTCTGGTCGCGTGCTTCCCTTGCTCTTGATGTCTTCCTAGGACCGGAAGACCTTTTCGTCATCCATTCCGTCCAATCGTGCGGGACTTGGGCGTGGGCGGCGGGTTACCGAAGCCGGAACTGGGCGCGGCCATCGTTCCGAGGACATTGGCATTCGTCCTTTCGTATGTATTCGACAGTCTGGACGGAAGATAAAGATTAGCTTGAGCTTTTGATGTCCAACGGGATAGGAGGGCAAAAGAAAGGGTTGTCGCTGGGCGGAGGCCAGTACTGACGTCGTGGCAGGGGGATTTCGCGGCGCTCGTCCAGCGGGGTGTTGAATATGCGACCGAGCTCTTGATCAGGAGATCCAAGGCATTGATTCAAGCAGCGGGGGTTGCTCCGGTAACATTTACGTCGATCACGATGCCAACGACAGGGCCAGAGGTGGCGTCGGGCGCGCATGTGCCGGAGGGACGCGATCAGGTCTTTGAGGCGTGCGTGGGGAAGCGGTGATGCAAGGCAGGTACGCTGCCTGAATGTCGAGGTCGCGGGGCCGAGCCTCGAACAATGGATCATGGAGGTGCTCCGACTGTGATAATGGGAGAAGAGAAAGGAACTTGGAAAACAATTTTGCGTGCTGAGGTCGCGGGAGAGAAGAGATGGGAGCGAGCAAATGCAGGCAAAACAAGTTCTTCTTCCTTGTCTTCGAGGAGGGTGACTCCTTGGAAGGTTGAGTGAAATGGTGCGCACCTGCCCGGTAGACATGTCAGGCCAATTGGGCGACAGAAGAATGTCGGGCTTGTCGAGCGAATCTGGCAGCTTCAGACACATTCCACTGCCAAAACCATAAGGTGGGTAGAATATTGAGAGGCATTCGCTTGAGACATACAAAGAGAAGAAGCGACACTGGACAGAATGAGGTCCCGGCAGTTTGGGTGATGCTTCCGTTGAGATGAGGTGGTCTCGACTGTGACCCGACGTTGGCGTGTGGAGAGATGGAATCCGTATACTTCCCACCGTATCCGTATGGCGCCCACCGTATCCGTACGGCACCATATCGGTACAGGTGCCACCGTATCCGTATAGCGCTCACTGTATCCGTATGGCGCCCACTATGTCCGTATGGCGCCCGCCATGTCCGTACGCCCCCATATCCGTACGCCCTCATGTCCGTACAGCTCCCACTGCAGTGGCGGTTTTCAGACACTGGGACGGGAAGTACCAGCCAAGGCTGTCCCGTCACCACGAACACCAAAACACCGTCAGCTCTCCCACGGCAAAGCCCGTCATCTGGTCACCATACGCCAGAACTTCATTGCCTACCGGCACGAATCAATTGACTGAAGCATGCACGACAAGATCTGGTCGGGCGAAACCGCCCACACCACGGCCACGGCCGCGACCACGATCCACCCTACCGCTTTTGTCCGCATGATGCAAGTGGCGGTTTTGCGCACGCGACAGAATGAACGTGAATTGGTGAGGTCCACACGAGATGTGCCTTATGTGAGCTACTACCTTGACGGCTTGGAACGGGCGGGAACTGTGAAAGATTTCCAAGTCCTCACGAAATTCGTGACCTGGACCGACCGCGACTGAGACCGCGCCCATGCCACAATCTTCTGCCGCCTAGCGGTGAGCAGAGGAAAGATTTGGCTGCGCATCCAATTGAGGGAGAGAGAAACGGCAACCCAGACACAGATTGAGGACGCGCAGAACGCCCGGCGAGGTTGATTTACTGGCTATTCTCTGCGCGGGGCCGCCAGGATCCCGTGTGAGATATCGGAAATGTTGTGGTGTCTTGATCCGAGGACTTAATTGATCAAACCTGGTTCCGCGTCCTGCAGGACAACCACGAAAAATTATCTCGGTTTCGACTTCTGCGGCCTTAAGCGCAGCAGTCTCGATATCAATCTCACTGCTGCAGTTGTCCATCGTCTTTCGCGAGTGTCGAAATAATGTTCGTGTCGTACCGGTCACCATGCCTCGAGGCCTCCAAAGCCGATTTAGCCCCCCCACTTCCGAGACGACACAGAGGACGTGGTGCGTCTGCGCCCTCTCCATTTTCCCGGTCACCAGAGACAATAAATACGGCAGAAGACTGACGCGAACGCGCCCTCCCCTGTACGACAATATTCCAAGTTGTCTGCCCTTGCACATCCAAAGGAGGCAGTCGACGTGGCAGGCAGGCTTTTTCGTGGTACAACCGGGCACCTTCCCAGTGCTTCCGACCATCGAAAGTCATCAACGCCTGCCTTCCGCATCGTCAAGCTGCCCCTGCGCCCACACTTGATGATCACCGTCAAGTGTGAGGACGACTTCCACATCGCCCAGACTGCGACCTTCCCGACTTCACCTCATCTACCCACTTGCAACGTTCACACAGTACCCGCATCGTCCTGCCCCCAGACGCGACTGTCCCGCGACAGCTTGTCTACCACATCTTCCGCCGTCTCGCGCAACCTGTGGATGTCTTCCGTTCGAACCCTCAATCTCACATCATCCTAAGAAATGTCACATGTTTCTTCCTTCGACTTTACAAAGTGCCCGCACACTCTCGACATTTCGGACATACGGCGGCAATTCCCTTACCCAGTTGTGGCTTTTCGTCTCGCAAACTTCCACTGCAGTACCAACATCGTCAATGCCCAAGCGCTTACCGAGGTAACTAAGGCTGCCAAAACTTGGGGGATCACTCCGCTTCACCTTCTCTACCTGGTCCACCGAGATAAATCTGGTGGTGCAAAAGCTTCCTTTGCCGCACTCGTCGCGTTTGCCTCAGCTTGCCCTGGCCAGAGGACCGCTTCCAGCACATTGTGCAGTTTTGCCAACAATCGCCGCGTCACCAGGGACATCAACCGTTGCAAAGCTGGCATCACCCTCAGCAACATCCGGAATGCAAGCACGTTCTATAGTGGACAGTCCGACGACACTTCTCCACTCCCACCGTCAGCAATTGTCTTAATGGCACCAACTCCCTCGCAAAGGTCGTCCGCATCATCAGCAGCCACCCAGGCGAATTCTTCCAAAGCACCACCATCATCTGAACAGCTAGCACCCCTTGAGGACGCTTCTTGCTAGGAACCGGCATCACCCATGCCCAAAACACACACAACGCACACCAAATCGTCAGGGAGATATCTATGACCAGATTATAAGGGTGGCTGCATTGTATTGCGCGTTGTATTGCATTTGCTCCCCCGATATTTCGAGACCGGTCATTGTGCAGCATCCTCACCCCTGGTAGAGGAACAAAGCATTCACAACTTGAGGGCCTACCTCGACCCTGCTAGTTCCGGCCACGGATCCTTTCTGACCGACAAGACCATCAAATACTTAGCCACAACACCAACATCGAGTTCAAACCGGGCGAGTATTTCTGGCCAGGCCGCGGGAATCAACAGTCTGATGAGGGGAGCTTCCGCTGGGACAACGACATGATCCGCGGTGACAGCAACGGTGGAAGGGCCATCGCTGGCACCCAAGACAACAACGACGACAGCGGCCAGGAAGACTTCAACAACTCCGAGCACGTCCTTGACTTTGGCGGCGAGCAGTTGTTGAATGAGTCCGACTCGGTCCAGGGTCATGCGATCGTACGAGAAAGTAAACAAGACATGGCTGCCCCTGCGGTCCCAGTCATATCTACTTCGCGCCAAGCACCTCGAAAGGAGTGCTTCCAAGACCTCTTGCCTCGAGCAAACAGGCAGCCTGACAACGAAGGTTGTTGAATACGCCGAGGAGATCCTTACAGGCAATGCCGTGCAGAAATGGTGGAGAGATACCTGCCTTGACACGTCTGTCTAGCCTGCGGATCTGCCATATACCCAATCGACTCTGGGAAGCTCGGCGCGTTAGACATCCAGAACAGTCCGAGGGCCCCAACAGCGTTTCTGCTCCAATCAGACTTTCTACTCAGATCTTGATCCCGTTCGCGTCGGGTGACGACTAGGGACTGTGTGCCCTCGATCGAATTGGGAGGGCTTTCTGAGATCCCGATCCTTGCATTATCATCCTTCGCCCACCTCCGCAGTCCTCTCTGCTGATGGGGTGCTTGCCAAAGTCAGAAAGCGTTACTTGCCTGACTCACATACCCATTATGAAGGCAAAGGGGCAATGACATGCGCCGCGCCGAGGATGGATGACCCGAAAGATTCTGGTGTCTACTTGTTTGCCAGGGCCATGCAAGTTCTCGCCTAAAGACCCATTGCGCAAAATACCAATCGTTTTCTGGTGGAGGACCATGTCCTCATATCTTGGTGTGGCCAAGAAGAAATCGACGTGGGACTCGCTGATTTCTAGCGAACGCGTAGGAAAGCCGCCGCCGGATCTTAACGAGCGAGTAGGCGATGACGACCTGACATCTGAGAGTCTGGCTGAGGGTAATCGACGCTGTGACAGGAGGTATGCTCGGCATGAAGGGGGGCATTTCATTGCAAGCAAATTGCGTTTGCAAAGCCCTTTCTACGACCTTGATTCCGCGGTTCGAACTTCTGACACCTTATACGAGCGCTCTCGACGAAGCAGACTTGACGAGACAACGAGTGTGGTGTTTCATCGCAACGAAGAGATAATCTCCGAGGTCAATGATGTCCTCAGGAGTCGCGATAACGTGGAGCGGGACCACACAAGTTTTCCAGAGTTGACGAGTAAAGCGATGGGAAGTTTGGAAGGCTGCACGCGCAGGGTGCAGATCCTGTCTGGCACATGAAAATAACGAAATGGTGGTCATGTTCTTCGAGTGTCGGCAGAGGTAGAGAGATGGACCGGCGCGTCTTTGGCATGCATCCTACGATTCGAACAGACACATTGCTGGCAGGGAGGTAATCGCAGTCCCAGGCTGAACGCTGGTTTGTTTTCTCAAGATTGGCAGAAGGTTAGATTGATCCGACGCTGTACAATGCGCATGGTCATGGCATACTGCTCGTGATTGCTCGCGTGACGCGAAAAAGGATGCGTGCTGGTGATGGGATTCGTCAACGCAGATGCCGCGGTCGCTCGTGTCTCAGGTACTGCAATTGACCAAGACTCGCCTTGCATTTCTGAAGTCGTGGACGCAAAGAACTCGAGACGGGGGCCGCCACCGCGGGTTCTGAGACCACGTCCGCTGCCAAAGTCCGGGTTGTTGGGCCCGGACTCGCCGAGCCCGTTTGCGGCAGATTGGACCAATAATGCCAACTACCCAGGAACAGAACAACCCAAAGCTTATTATTTCACATAACGTTGGCGCGGCAGCAGGCAGAGGAGCCAATTGGGGGCTTTTTGGACATGCTGGATCTCGATGGCGACCCTCGAAAAAGTGAGGTCATCGCGAGTGACGGGAAAACCAAACTCGTGCTGATCCCATCGATCCCACTGATCGCACCCGCATCGTTCTGCACAGCAAGATGTTGCAGGAAAAGCCTTCAAGTTAGCCTTGAAATCTTACGCATCGTGCGTGCAACGTCCCACAAGGTGCCGTATGACATCCCAAGTGGATGGAGTGGCGGTTGATTGCATCGTGGCGGGATCGCGTCTGGGACAATTTTGATGGCGACGATGGTGGCGGTTGACAATTTGGGCGGTGCGGCACCTACCCTCCCGCTATTTCCAGCTTGTTCCACGGCGGTGGTGCCCTGGGCTTACGTTATGTCCCGAATCATCGTGGGGAAGTCGGGACGTGCGCAGGGGGCCGCGTGATTACGTAATCCCGTGCATCATTCCAAGGCCATGACCCAACCCGGGGTATCATGACCGAGCTGCACCGGTCATGTCGCACCGGCCATGACAAAATCCATCAACATGGTCGTCTATCACTCACAAACATCCTGCAAGGGAGTGCAATAAACTTGTTCTCGATCCATTTCCAACTCCAGCAACGAAAGCGCTTTTGGGATGGCACGGGTGACAAGGGACAGACATTTGGCTTTGGCACCAAGTTCAAGATTCTACAACAGCATCACTTCTCTCATCTGCGACACCAAAGCCCACGCCCGCAATCTCTTTCTCGCCGCCCTGCACCCAACTACCTCGATATGGAAGGTGCTGCCACCTCCCGCCCGAGCCACCTGTCCGAATTATTCTCGACAATCTTGACGACATTCATGCCTACCAAGACACCCGTCGCCAGGCACACTAGATCCCCACTCGAGCGATGAAAGTCTTCACTTCCTGTTCTCGCTGACCTCGTCTGTTCTCGTGCAGAAACGAAGCAAGTCATGACCCGAGTTCGATGTTGATACCTTCCACGAAGCCGCGCCCGCTCGGCCGCGCACGCAGCCCCCGTCTTCAAAAGTCAACCCAGTCCTCGCTCAGCGCCGCCCTCGACCAGCAATGGTCGCTTGACAGCCGTCGGCGGCAGGATGAAGGCGGCTCCGCTGCTCTTCGGGGCAAAGGACTTGTCGCTCTGCGTCTTCCCGCTCGCGCCGCGAACGGACTTCGATATGCGAAATTCTCCCTTCCAACGCTTCAGCTCCCCGACAATTACTACATCCGCAAAAAGGGCAACCACGCCGATCACGAAGGAACAAGGTGTTATGGAAAGCAAGCCAGGACCGAACCAACCGGGGCGCGTGTGGGAGACGCAACGAGCGGGACTTGGGGATCCAAGACGACCAAGGCGCCGATTGGAAAAAACTATGGAGAGGAGGACATGTTGGACAGCAGCCTATTGTTCGGCGGCACTGGGGCTCGGACAACAAAACGGGTCCTTCGCCGGATGCGAGGGAGTTTTGAGGTCATTTGGATCGACCGTCTTACAAACGAAAAGGAGTCGACGACCGCACCGTCGCCCTGCTGGAGCTCAAGGGCTGGCCATCTACCAAAGCCCTCGCCGAAGCGGTCCACGACTACGACGACTTCTAATGTGTCGTCTACAACAAGCCACGCCCAGCTCCCATGCACCCACAACCCTGCTGGTCCTGGCTGTCCGTATTTGGGTTGCGGCATGCAGTACCAGACTTCGGGCCTCGTTGGCTTCCGAATGTACGACGGCTCTTGGGCTACAACCTCGAATTCGATGGTACCTCGACGTTCTGTCAACCGGCTTCTCAATCTCGACATCAACAGGAGGCTGGTATGGAGATCGTTGGCCAAGGCATACTACATGGGACTGCCGAGTCAAGCGAAACATCTGCCGCAGTCTACCACCTGCGTGATGAATTTCCGGAGAGGTTATCGCCAGCGTGCTCTCCAAGCTGTGGGGGCACACTGCCAGTGGAGTCCTGCTTGCACAGGCAGAACCCGTCGAGTTGGCGAAAACCAATGTGCTGCGCGGGAACTTGCCTGGAATTACCATCGGCAAGCGTGTCCTCCAAGCTCAGAATGGGTACTCCCTGTTGCATCAGAGAGGAACCAAGTGATCGATCTTCCTGGTTCCCCCGCGTTTCTGCAATGAAGTGTCGTAGCCACAGACCAAAAGAGCCAACGAAAACAAAGCGTGTTGATCCCACAGCGTGTTTCTCCCTCCGCTGAGTTCTTGCTCGCTGCCTTGTAGCCCAAAGCTCTCGTTGACGCAAACGACGGGTATCATATCCGGCAGGTTTTCCCATTGTCAGACCTTCTCTTTAGTATTGCTATCTGACAATCTGTGGTGTCATCGAACAACGTACAACAATGTAATATCTCGCGTTTCTTGGTTGGTTTACTGGGATTGCCCATGGCTGCTGACTGGCCGCCTTTGGTGCCGGGGTCATGTCCAGCTTCCCAAGTGCCCGCACGAAAGACACGTCAGTGACTGGCTCTCGCGTAGCTTTGACTGTTGCTTCGCCTGAAAGGCACGGCCGAGTCCGGTCACATCCGTTGCTCGATCACCTTACCCGACACTGTGGATGCGGAAACCGTCGGTGAAGCCCCTGGAGAGAAAACCTAAAGGCCGGGTTACCGCCGCCACCGCCCCGGTCGTGTCGCCCGGGCACCCTGTTTCCATGGCCTTTTTTCTAGCCATTCCTGTTTGTTTCAGTCTTCCCGTGTTATGTTGACGCATGACCCAAGGACCTGGAAAATTGTGGATATCGCGAGCTACGAAAAGAAGAAAACACTCGTATCAAGCAACACCTTAGAGCATAACTTTCCACATAAAACACGATATAAGTGCACATACCCAGCACTCAACATAATAAGAGCCTGATAAGATCTGTGGGTGTTGTTTGTACCTGGTAATATACGTGATACAATCACCTTTGTTCTCAAGTTGTGGATGATGGGGGTTGATTAATTGCTGGTTTGCGGATTCGACCTAGACGCCGTGATGCCGCTCTATATATACAAAACCAATGGAAGCGCGAACTGTAACATGAAAATCCCGAGACCTGACTGTCATACAATAGCGGGCTTCTTCTTCTCCTCCACCCGACCCTCGATACAGCAACCAGTCCCCTGCGCATTGTGCAGGGCTATCATACAACTCCGGGAAGGATACTCCATACTAGCGGTAGGTCCCTTGATTTATGCCATAACTGTGAAGCTCAGCCTTCTTCCTCCAACAACGACGCCCCAATCTCTCTCCATGTATTCGCCGTCCTTTGTTGGACTGGTGGCTGGGGATACCAAGTTGTCCGCCCGTACTAATCCGTGATGTTGCGTTTTTGGGGATACTCTGTTTCGGACTTTGGCGACATCAAGAGATAAACGTCGTCTCCATTCGTATTTCCCATTCTTCGCGCACGTTCTCTATGCTTCCTGTGCCTGCGCGGCTTGAGCAATTGATCGGGCGGAAAGCACGTCCGTCAGGACGATGCCAGCGTGACTGGCTTTCAAGCCCGGGACTCCCAGGCCAGATGCCGCAGAGAGACGGCGCTGATGAGCGCATTCACAGAGTGTTTCCATGGCCTTATTCCAGTCTTTGCAATCTCTTGAAAGTTCCTCCATCTCAGCAAAGAACCAGATGCTGTGGTGGTTGTCGAGGGTCTTTTCGTAGCCCATCCGGAAAAGAACGATTTGCGATGTTACGCCCCAAGAACATGCGGCTCTGAGGAGGAAGCCTTCGCCAAGCTTGTTTCGGAGCGTGAGGTGGTCGCTAAGTGCCTCCGTGACTGCGGATACTGCCCAATGAGGCAGAAGCTGTCGCAGGTCGCAAATGTCGATTGGGTTGGAGGCGCCCTCTGCTGTCCGCTCAAGTTCGTTAAGCAACTCGAGGACGACGTGTGGCTCTTGGTTCGCCGTGTGTACAAGCGTGAGGGCCTGCGAGAAAGCCTCTACTGCTTCATGTACCGACTCGCGATACTGCTCCATAGCGTCCTGACGGGACTTGTAGGAACGCATGTCGGGATAAGCAGGTGTTTCGATGAATCACTTGGGTGTTGGGTATGGACTTAGGTCGCCGTCTGCGTTCTCTTCGACTGATTAGGTTCTCGCTACTTTATTAATCGGTCTGGACGTGGATGTTGGACGCGTAGATGTTGCCGAGCGAACAGGAGGAGACAGAAAGACGTCAGAAGTGTGGCCAAGACGTTGTAGCTGGTCTGTATACCGTAAATCTGGAAGTTAAGGTCGGTTGCAACACTTTGAGTGAGATGAGCCCAGCACTTTCTGCGGTGTGCGTAGGTTGTTGACGCATCTGAACGGAAAGGACCTTCCTTTCATTTACACGAAGGCCTCTGGGTAGTTGCGGTATTCTCGCCTTTTTGTCGAGCGCGGAAGGTCAAGCATGCTGGCAGTTGCATTCGGTTTGGGCGCCTGATAAATTCAGCCTTCTTAGGATTTGAATTCATTAGAAATGGAGAGAAATGTTGCAACCTGGGGAAGGAAAGGCATGGGATTGTCCGCGCTGAGGTGCAGGTGTCTAGTCAGACATCATAATTCACAGGAACTATCCAGACTCGACTAGCTTGACTGGATGCCTACCTTGAGCGCAGGGTGAAAATGTCTGCAGGCGTCCTCTTTGGACCACCTGAGAGACTGGTAGGGTCTACTTGACATTGCCGTCCACAAAAGCAATCCCGGACCGCTGCGACGAGGCACGCTACTTCCACCTTCACGAGCTGCACCAGCCCAGCTCCAATCCCACTTCGCTCACGGTCCAGCAATACTTGACGGAAAACGAGGAAGTCGCCGCAGTCTTGCCCCGATAAGTGTAGGTAGGCAGACTGCTGTCAGTATCCACTGCTTAACCTGCAAGGTCACTCAAAGACAGTGGCGGCAAGCGGCTTGGTCGAACCACCTCCCGTTTGCGAAGCCGGCTCTCTTCGGGTGACAGTGATGGCCTGTGCGCTGAAGGACGCCCTGAACGCTGCCCAAGGCACCAGTGAGCGTAGCGGGTGCACTGAATGGATTACGTCAGCACGAGCGTCAAACCCGTGGCCGGAAGAGAACTTAGTCCGTCTTATCATGTGATCTGGTGAATTGGTGCAGCAGGCAGGAGGCCCGGGACTTCCATGACCGGCGAAGCATCCAGACTGTGGAATCCGGACGAGAAAAAAGCAACTGTACAACGGCGCATCATTATCTGGTAGTGGGCAGCCACAAGACGACCTTCCTATCCCCACACACCTATTCTGCTCTTCCTCGTCATCGTCGCCTTTTTGGTTTTCGTCGTCACAGTCTCCGAGATTTGGTACGCTGCGGCCACTACACGCTACTTCTTCCGCCGGTTGGGACGTGGTCGGCCCAGGCCATCTTGACCGATTCAACCAAGTCAGTTGTCATTCTCCAACCAGGAATCTCCTATCACCTTGCCCTGCACCTTTCACTAACCTCAAGCATGTGGACAGACACAACGTCATGCGAGGCGAAGCAGCCCATCGTTACGTCTGGAGATCAACAACGAACCATGGAGCCAGGCTCGCCGACGATTGAGCTCGCTCGACCAACCTCCTAGAAGACGTCAGTACTACTCTGATCCTCGACGATTACCTCCAGTCAATCTCTCCTTGCTGACTCCCGCGATATAGTTTCCTTGCGAGCGCTCGACAAAGCGGCGGGCTTGTCACGGCTACCCCCTTCACACCGGACGATCGAAGAAATACAACCGTCAAATTTGCTCTGCAGTGCTGGGACTCGTCGCAGCCATGGCCCTGACTAGCGAACGATTTTGAATGAATACTGGAGCTGAATTCAATCTGTAGTACCGGTGGGCCCGCGCTGCGCTGCGAGCTTCTTGCTCCCCCACCTCCCCCAACCCCGGCATCTGACTAGCGACGCGAAGAGATGGATGTTTACGCCTCCAGTAAACCTGAGAATTCTGTGGATAAGAAGATGAATCTGTCAAGAATCAGATAGTAGCGAACGAAAATGTATGGCGTCTGGGTTGGGCAACCTAACTGACGGCTGCCTCTTATAAGCCCTCTCTCCTGGTTGCTCGGCATGCTATTCGCCTTACGTCCTCTCTATCCTCCGCCCAGCTGTCTCTAACATCTACGTCCTTCCTCCCAAACCTCACTGACACTCTCTCTCATGACGATCAACTGAGACAGAGGAAGCAACTCGTCGCCGGAGTCTCGTCACCTCTCCGCCTCGCCGAACCCAACTCCAGTCTAGAGGGGTGGTCTCCGCTCCGCAGGTGCCTGCTCTTCTGGACCAAGCAGACGGTTGGCCTGCATGAGCCTAGGTCTATGCAGCCTTCCGTGATGCTTCACATCTCACGAACCGCTTTACTCGCTCTATGCTCGCTCCATGCTGAGGGCGTGGCACGAATCAGAAGACGGCTTGGCCGACGCTCTCCCCTCGTTTGTCGACACGCTCTAAGGCTTTTCTTCCGCCATCCCCGCTTCCTCTCGCCCAACAGCAGCAACCCTCTGGATCACAACTTCATCATACCTTGCCTACAGGCCAATCACAGCAACTCCTCTCACAACCCTCCTTCAGAGCCTGTGAGGTTGCAAGGCAACAACCCGTCGCGGAAGTTGCCAATCTCTTTTGCTCTCGTTCTGTGCCGACATTATGTGTCGAGACAACACCACCAGGGTAATGCTGCGCCCTACTTGTGCTCTGGTCTGCTTTTCGTTTGTACTGACTGGGTGATCACAGGTTCGTGAGAAAATGAGCCTCGACCACTTCCGTACTAGCAATAATGAGAAGATCCCATGGTGCCTCGGGGCCATCCGGTCAATGGACACCCATTTGGCAACCCACAAGCTCGACTCCCGCACATATCAATACCTCGAACTCAACAGCCTGCCGACGAAGCTCGATTGCGTCCACGAAGAAAGCGACTGTCCATTCCTCGAGAACCACCGCATCGTGCCCAAACTCGGCAGCCTCATTGACGAGTCGGTGAAGAACGACGCCCTCCAGCGAGGCGAAATGCGCACTGTTGTGTGCCTCCCGTGGATGTATGGTTGGACGATGCCGTCATGGACTGGAGACATCCGACCGCCGTTACTCGTCACAGCAGAAGAATGCGAAGGGCGAGAGGTTCTCGAGGCGCTATTTGCAGCTGGAGATGACAGGGCTGATGTGCCGTCCTGGGGACTAACGGGAACCTCTTTTTGCCTTCCCCAGTACCAGAGACCTCCTTGCGCCTTGCCTATCTCGAGCGACTGGTCTACGTCGACCGTTGGACCGACCGTTCGAGGCCCTGCTCCGGTGCAGCCCTCGAGTGAAACGAACCGGTCGTCAGGTGCGTCTACACGCCAACCTTTGAACCGACACTTCGCATACTACCCACGCCCGCACCAGCCAAGCCGCACGAGTCTATGAGGTCGCCGTCCAGTGGCCTGTTCGCAACGGATTTTTGCACCAGCACTACGCCTCCTATCTCCTTCTGACCATCCATCCCCTCGAGTGGCATGTCGACGTCTACCTTTCGGCCAACGCTGCAACTCCAGCCTCACAAGCGTGGTATTGGTGAAGCTACCTTTGGCTTTCACCCGGCCCCCGACCTTCATGATGGGCGGTCGGCTGTCCATACGTCAGAGTCTGCGGGGGTTGCTCATGTCTCTCGCCGGCGTCTGACCTACGACACTGGCGATTGCGGTGGAATGGGTCAATGACCAGGCAAACAGTCTCCCCGGGTTCCTGGAAGACCGCAGTCACCGCCGCCACCGCCACCGCCACCGCCGCCATCAACCGGGTCTGATTTGCCGCCGCTTCGTACTCCTTCTTAGGCTGTGCCGGTTGGCGCGCTTCTCTCTCCGCTAGAAACCCCACAGCCGAAGATGCCTCCCCCGCCAGGCGGAAGAAAACATGGCTAATGTTGACCTGCTCGATGTAAGCGGCGAGAGTCTTGACACCGCTGTCAAGTCAAACAATACCGGCAACAAGATTGCCGCTCGAGGCAAATATGCTCAACAACATTATAATAAGCCAAGTGATACCGGCAACAAGATTACCGAGGCCCAGTTCAACGAGTGGATGGCTGTATCGCTCGATTTCCCTGGTGCTCAACAAAATCAAAACAAGCCAAGTGATGCCGGCAATAAGATTACTGAGGCCTAGTTCAATAAGTGGATAGCTATGTTGCTTGATTTCCCTAGTGCTTAACAAAATCAAAATAAGCCAAGTGATGCCGGCAATAAGACTACTGAGGCCCAGTTCAACGAGTGGATGGCTGTGTCGCTCGATTTCCCTGGTGCTCAACAAAATCAAAACAAGCCAAGTGATGCCGGCAATAAGACTACTGAGGCCCAGTTCAACAAGTGGATAGCTATGTCGCTTGATTTCCCTGGTGCTTAACAAAATCAAAATAAGCCAAGTGATGCCGGCAATAAGATTACTGAGGCCTAGTTTAACGAGTGGATAGCTATGTCGCTCGATTTCCCTAGTGCTCAACAAAATCAAAACAAGCCAAGTGATGCCGGCAATAAGACTACCGAGGCCCAGTTCAACGACTGGATGGCAGTGTCGCTCGATTCACCTGGTGCCGACAACAAGATAACGGCTTATTTCAACGAGTGGATGGCTGTGTCGCTCGAGTCACGGAAGTTCAGTTGGTCCTGATCCCGGAGCGCGAGTCCGGCAGAATCAGTGTTCTCGATTCGATCCAACACAATGCCGTCGTTACGGGCCGTCGAATGCACAGCGTGCCACCGCTTCGGCAGGAGCTGCAATCGTTCTGTTGGGAACAGGCATGTGAGGTGCAGCAGCCAGGGCAGGGGAGACAGGGGAGGACAGACTAGGCAGACAGGAGCTATTGGACCGTCTCAGAGAGGCTCAGCGCGGCCTCGTTGCGTTATGGGATGCCCTTATCGTCATTGATGGCGATGTAGTCAAGCGCGGCGCTGGGGATGTTCACATGGTGACGCAGCAATTGGACCATCTCGTCATGACTGGTCCTTACGCAACTGCCAGCTTTCGAGTGCCGGCGAACTTGGGAATGCGGGGAACTGCTGCTGGATAGGTCATGTTCATGTATTCCAATTCACTTAATCGCATGTTTGGAGATTCCAGCCCCACGACTGTCATGCGTGTCGAATACCTTCATGGAGCAGGCATTCTTGTGGCATGTGTGATCGGAGGGAAAGAACTCGCTCCGTCATGCAGATACCCATCTCTGTCGCTAATCTCGTGACAGTCTTCCATCCCCATTGCAAGTATCTCCTTCCTGCCAGCTGCATATAAGGTGTCCTGTCCCAAAGGTCTACCGCACACCATGGCTCCTCACGTCGACTGGGATGCGCGCAGATGCCCCTGTCCAATGTATCTAGAGCACCTCCAGGACACCAACAAGACGACATACTAAGCGCTTATCATAATACTTAACGCCGGCAATCTCGGCGACGCGAAGTGGGTAGATCCATTTAACAAAGCGGCGACCAGCAACGAGCCGACAATACCGACAGCGTCTTGTTCTCGAATACGGAGGAGAAGCTCCAGTTGAAGGATCATATAGAATTCTTCACATCGTGGCCGCACTCCAAGGCGAAGGATCACTGGGCTAAGATCCTTAAGTAGTGGAGAGAGATCTAGGCGAAGAGGAAGCGTACGTTGACCTCTTTAAGAGACATTCTTCCATTTAATGCAATGGTGATAAAGCCCGAGTTAGTTTCCAGAGTCAAATACCGTCCGTACTGATATCACCGTCGACAAACTACCTGCCAACGACGTGGTCCCCGATCGTGCGACGACGATGAATTTCCCCGATCAGACAAAGACAAACATCCTCGAGCCTCCTGTTCCTCCGCCTCTGCCTCTACAGCCCGGACCGCGCCAGCCGACATTCTCGTCTGCTCTCGCCGCCGCTGTAACCGCTGCGCTGGAATTTTCGACCGTGCCGCCGAGCACCCATGCCGGCATCGTCTCGGGATACCACGCACGGGCTCGTCATCATGAAGAAGGCGGAAGGCGACAGACCGGGCTTGATGGTTAAGGCGGGAGGAAACTGACCGGGCTTGATGGTGGTGGTTGCGCATCGGCCGCCGGGGCTTGAAGTACCGCACCCGCCGCGGGTCCCGCCGTTGACATCCAGGCCATCAAGGACATTAACCGCCGCAGGTACACGGAGCAGTTGAAGCCGCAGGAAAGGAGGAGATGGCGGAGGGGTATAGACGTCTCCAAACAGGCTGATAGAGGTTTACTTTATGTCATGACAAAGGTTGACAGGGAGCTGTTGTTCCGGCAGACATGTATGTGACAAGCGTCAGATAGCATTCATTCCCGCAAGTACTCCAAGACAACTCTAATCCCGATCTCTCGCAAGCCGCGCCACGCTCAGTCCCTCTCGCCGGTGCCACTCGCCAGCACAAGATGCTCCCAGCTGCGCTGCCTCAACACCGCAGCGCTCGCAATAGCTTCCGGGATCACCACCGCCAGCTATGCCTCATGGTCCCGCAAAGTCATCAAGACGTTCTCGACCTTGTCCACGAGTGGATCAGGGACCGGCGTTCTCGGTGATCCATGACTCCAGCTGCAACGAGGCTGCAGCTGGTCCACGCGTTTCCGGTACGCCGGCAACCTCACCTCTGGGGCGTCCCACGCAGCCTGCGCCTCTAGGCCCTCGCGTTTCTTGTCGGACGCCTTGGTATTCTGGAGACGTAGCTCGCGGAGCTGGCTCAGGGTGTTGATTGCAGCCAGGGAGAGCGGCTGAGGGGGTGGACAACCAGCAGCAACACCGATTCGGGCTCTTCGTACGGACTCCTTCGGGCTCCTCGTGTGGACCTTACGCCGGTCGGAGACCGCCATCGCCCTCATTACGACCTCCTCATGAATGGAAAAGTGACGCGCCACTCTTAGAGCCTCATGGAGACGTTCGTGCGGTATCCCGAGAGTTCCACGATCGCCAGCGCCTGCCCCGTACCTTTCCGCGCGGCCAGCGACTCTGCCCCGTGTTGTGGCGAGGAGACTAAGGGGCCCTCCCTCATAGCCACTCGAAGCCGTACTCGTACTCTCGCCGAAGCAGAGCGAAGCCAAACGGGCTTCTCCTCGTAGAGTTTGGCGATGTCACGACCCACGTCGGATTCGGTAGTACGTTTGCGCTCGATATGCGCATCCCGGTTTCCCTTCCATCCATCTGGGCCGCCCAAGACGTATTGGCACTCAGCGAGCTCGTGATGGCGACCGCATACCGTAAACTGAGGAGGCCAGTCGTCTTCTTCTTCAGCGCTCGCGACTCGTCTGCGCTTCATGCTGGTTGTGGATCGATTGGAATAGTCGGGTATGACTCGGTGTATCTCGGCGACGATGTTGCAAGGGTGAAGATAGTTTGCTTCAGCTAGTATCTGCTTCATGGGTCAGCACACAGTCATCCACGAGTTGGGGCGAGAGCTACCACGAACTTCCCGCAGCCCGGCACGCGTAGCGACGAGAGGTAGAGCTGTTCATACTCCCCCAAAAGCTGTCCAAGCTGGGGGACGTCCTCCCAAATGGCATCGTTGGCCTGGGAGACGAGCTTCTCGATGATGGTGAGGCGTATCTTGGAGTTCGAGGGAGAGACATGGTTGTTTTGGAGCGGGAGCCAGGTCGCCAAGGAGTCGCGCGGAAAGTACGCATCAAAGTAGGCTTGGGAGACGAAGCCCGCAGGATATTCGCGGACCTCCTCAAGGCCTTTGGCAGCGTGGTTGTATTCAGCGAGGTCCGTGGCGTGGATGGCGCGTAGCTGCGTGTAGATCTTGAGGTTGTCGGCGGATCAATCTCGCAGTGACTCCGCCTGTACGGCCGGAGGGCGCCGTACGGTTTGGCAAGCGCGACGGCGTGGGCGCTTCGGGCCGCGCGGGCATGGCAGGAAGGGCATCAGCTGCTGGGTTGACGGTCGGATCGACGTATTTTCGTACGTCAAGATCGCGAGCCTGGTTTCGATGGTCTGAAGCCAGTTCCGATCCGTACGGATAGTAAACAAGGACCTTGCGCTTTGCCTATGTGCCTACCTCAGGTAAAAGTGGTTTCGCTCCTGCCACTTCAGTACTGCGCACATTCCGTGGCAGGGCCTCGCTCTAGGAAAACAATCTCACTGACACCGCCGGTCAGTCCACTCCTGTCCCGTCTTGACGAAGGCAACCTGAACGACGCCGCCAAAGAGTTCCGAGGCGAGGCCACCCACAACAACGTCAAAAATTTGCGCTAAATGGCAGACAGCGATACTAAGCGATTGCAGCCTTACACCTTCCGTGGCCACGACAGAACTCACACGACCAAACATCCTGAGCACTGCCACCAGGCACCGGGCGCAAAACGATCCCCACGTCCTGTTCAACTCTTCGACAAGCATTACATTTTCAGGCCCGTGACGGGCGGAAGCGGCGACATCAGCGCGATCCTGGTACATCCGATGGGCGTCGGCAGACGACACCGTCTCGTCGTCATCACCGCCAACCTTGTCAACAAGACCCCGCAAAGCCACGCCTCAGCATCCGGCCGTTACCGCTGCCAGAACGTGCCTTTTGCATCCGGTACGCCTCTGAGGTGGACGGCCCAACGGCAAAAGCTGCTGCCGCCAGTCCCTCGGCCGCGACGATGGTCTCGAGAATGTCCCCCTCCCAAGCGTGTCGGTGGCCCAGGCTATGCGAGATGCTGGAGCCTTCTTCGAGCCGAAGGTGGTCCTCGCGGGCCTGCGACGGGCCGACGGAGCTCGCACCTTCGTCCGCTTCGCCGACTGCGTTGCCATCCCGGACATTGGCCACAACAGGCCTACGAACCTCGTTCACTCCGTGTGTGTCGACTTCGATTTATCCGATGAACGACTGTATCACGTACCAGCCAAGACGCGGACGAGGCCAACACATCGAGCTGACGGGGTAGAATACTTCCTTGACACGGTCGACGCAGCAGACTATCCGATGAACCCCGCCACCGTCGTCCTACCCCTCTCCGTTGGGCGAATCAGCAGCGACACGAACTGGAAAAACGAGTGGACGTCCGACATTGCCCTCAATATGGCGAACGGCCACCGAGCAGGTCTGCGGATTGCCGGCATGTCCCACTTCAGCCCCATCATCTGCGATGCGGCGTCCAACATCCGGAGCGTCAAGAGCAATGCCGCTAAGGTCCTGTCTGCAATCTTGCCCAGTCAATACCGATCCCCCATCACCGTTACTGCAACTGCAGGTCTTAGCACCGACAACTCGAGCGGCATGACCCTCCGAGTTTCCCTCATCCGCGACAAGACCACCTACGACGATATCATTGCAGTCAGGAGTCAGGTCCACGCTGCTGACGCCTCCCTCAGAAGTAGCGACTCTGCCGACGCTAGGATGGAGGCAGCGGCGTAGCTGCGTGGCAATCTTCGGCGGATTCTTCTGCCACCCCATCGTGGACACGAGCGCGGTCGAGACCGAAACCCACGATTGTATCGTTGACGACAAGTTCGCGTCGACCCTCGAAGACCTGACAGCGACCGTCGGCAGGTCAGTCTTCGAGAGGCTTCTGTCTGCGCGCGCCGCCAACGGCTTTTCGAGGACCAACCGCCGGAAGTCCAATCTCAGTGTCGTGGAACAGGACAAGGGCATGCAGAAATTGGGCCACGTCATCCACCTTCTAGGTCTGTTGGAAGTTGGTGAGCGGGCGGAAGCTGACGGCCACCCGATCCCAACAGTATGGTCAGACTCGAGTCCAACGATAAGGAGGGGTTTCGACAAGAACTATCCTAGGGCCTACCTTCGACCCGTCAGAGGGCGTCATCTTGGTCAGATCCTTGCTCCTTGTTCCCGTCTTCGCAAGTTGAGGAAGCTCCGCAACAAGGCTTTCCACGCCGTTGAGGTACATCCGCATGACGGAGAGCGGTGGCACGGATTCGCAGTACCGAAGAACGTCAACATGTTTGTCAACTGGCCTGCCATTGCCCATTTCCTCTAGCTCTGGTTCGCGAAGTCTACGAACAAGGACAAGTTTGCTTTCGAACTCTCCCATGCTGGACAGAGCGCGACGGAGAGCCAGCAACCTGTGCAGGGGTCCAGGACCTTCTGTGTCGAGGATAGCGCACCCAAGAGCAAGACCAAAGCCCTCGTCCCCACCCACGCCCTCCGCGGAACCAGTCTCGACTGTCTCCATGTCGCAAATCACTATGTCCTCTTCAGCGTGTGCAAGGATATCAAGGTGTGGCCAGGCCACCGCCCGCATCGCACGTCAGGCCCCGCCCTTGACGTCCCACATACACTTCTTGGAGTCGCAGGACCAGCCGTTGGACCAATTAACTGCATGTGTCCGCGACGATCGTGACAGTCTCTTCAGGACGAATGTTTTGCTGCATGTCATGGACTGGATCGCAGACACCCTCACCAAGCAGCAGATCGACGACGCAAGCGCCCGTCGATTGTTCCAGATGGTAGTCACTAGTCGCTTCGAACTTGTTCCAGAAATCGATGGGATTCTCAGCGACGTTGCGACCCTGGTCCGGCCTAGCAAGAGGGACAACAAGGCGATGCGGCCGGCGTTCGATCTCCGCGTCAGACACTTCATCGACGACGCCATCAACAGGAACGCTGCCGCAAGGCTGAACGTCTTCCCTACCAGCTCGTTCAGCGGAGTCGAGAACTTCCTGAGCGAAGTCAACAAGGATGTGCTGCGACACTGAACTTCCAGAGCCTGGTGAACCACCTGGGTGACATCTCTCCCACCTTCTCAACCACGTCCGCTGAGGCGCCTGTCTCGTCACTGCCGTACTTTGCGTCGCTCGAAGCACTTCACATCGCTATACTACACTTACGCGACACTCGACGCGAGTACATCTCCGGTACTAGGGATGATTCATTCCCGTATCACTTCAACAACCTCGATTATACCATGAACGAATACAGGGCCGCCGTTTTTGCCGCAAAGGCAGCCTGAATCAAGCTCCGGAGACAGAATGTTCGAAGAGGAAACTCCTGAGATACTCGAACGAAGGTGCATACCACTTTCACAGACACCACCGACATGGAAGACAGTTTCACTGGAGCTCTACGCGAGAAGAGGTTTTCCTAGGAGGAGCCCCCCGAATCAGTGCACCGGCTTGATGCGGCTGAAAAGGCAAGGGATGCGACAGGCGGAGCCATGGCCGACCTTACCGAGCGCAGCTGGAAGTACGCGTTGGACACCAGGGACGCTGCCCAGATCTACGAGTTAATCCTGCCCTCCCCTCCCGCTATTGGGACCTCTACGTGCCGGACATCAGCAAGGCAAACTCGTCCAGCCTCATCCTTGACCACCATGGCTGGCTTGGGGAGGGAAATGGGCTCGAGCTCAACCGGTTCAACAAGAGGCCTACTACAAGAAAGATGGGAACATCACCAAGATAGTCCTCTACTCTGGCTGGAAAAGGTTGCCTCCCGTCGAGAGTCTCGCGAAGAAGAACGATATCGCGAATATCGGCATCGAGGATGTCTACGGCGGCGGCTACGGCGGCGCGAGCGGCCGCTTACGTGGCAGCAGAAATGGCTATCAGGAATGACGACGCGAGAGCTCGACAGGTCGACAGGGACGAGGTCATCAGGAAGCCGGGATTTTCCAAGTTTGACGAAGGCTGCATCGGCCATCTCCGCTTCACGAAGTCGCGGGCGGTGCGCGACCAAGCGGGTGGGATCGTCGACGTCGTAGATATTCCGGTAGCGTCCAGTGTTGCTTCAGGAAACATAAACACAGGCGACGGCTCGGAGAAACGTTCGATGAAGCTATGGTGTCTGCGGTGGCTCAGTGGATGAAGTGAGAATCCCAAGGGGAACATTCTCATAGTATGGCCGGTTCTCGGAATACGTGAGGGAGATATGGAATGATGGAGAGCGGACACCTGGGTGGCCTCAATTGTCATGTCACGTTGTTTTGAAAGAGCATTGGGCCGTCGAGCTTTTCTGGTCTTTGTGAGCCAGCTGTTCAGTATCTTGCGACAAAACCTGCTTAGTGCTCTTTCGAAGAAAAGTAATTGCACTACTTTCCAGCTCTTTGCAACTTCAAGATCGTTTCTTTGGACAGTGAGGAAGTCATATCTATTGCGATTTTACATAAGGTTCATCGTGGTTGTCAAATTGTAAACAACTTTCTTGCTACAGGACCAAGTCAAAATGAATATTCTTCAGCCGAAGAAATAATAGAATGGCACAATCATCGCATCAGGCAAGTCCCCCAGACTCACCTTGGGCGCATTCACAGGCAGGTGAGCATCCTCTTTATTGTTTCATTGGGTGCCCCGAAGAATCTCATCATCCTAGTCGAGCCTGACACAGCCGAAAGACGGGTCTTCGGGTCTTGCAACTGCCAGATCCACCAAGTGCCGTCGATCAACTCGTGGTGGGGCCACGAGGCCGGGGTCGTCAGGTAGTTGTGGACATCCCGGTTGCTGGTCGGCTCACATCCTATTCGAAAATAAACAGGTACAAATACTTACACCAACCGGACCTCCGGCAATCATAAAGTGGCCGCCACCGAGGACACCAAGGTTGCCCTCTTGTGGCTCCGCCTGAATGACTGTCTGGAACCCGTTTACATCGGTGTTCTGCATGACGAGGTCGTACGTATATGCTTCGGAGGTGTACTTGACCGAGGTTCGTCTTCAGACTGCTTTTGCCATGGGGCACGTGACCCGACAGGTCCCTACTTGTACCTTCTCCACGCAGTACCAGTAGTCTACGCAATCCAAGCATCCTACACCCCATTACTGTTGCAGCTTTACCCGTCAATCAAGCTACAAGAGGGGGTCAAGGGCAGGAGTCTAGTGACGAACTTCTCGAAATGTCCCTTGATGATACCGCCACCGCCATTGGCTGGAGGGATCGTGGCGGCACCAAAGGGTAGGCCCTGGTGCGGGACGTAAGCTCTATTACTAGTTATGTTTATCTCGTTGCCGTTGAAGATGAGGCGCCTGGATATCCAGGTCAATCGACTTCGTCTTAAGCCTCCACAGCCGGTTCAGACTTCATGGAAATCATCATTCAATCGGTTTCAATAAGCTCAACTACATTCTAGGGTCAAGAGAATGGCAGGCCAGTCTTCATCGGTTCCGGCTGCTCTTCTCCAACTCTCCAAGGATCACTCAGGACTCCAGTCTACAGCAGAAACGCGGGCTATTATGCAGGTCATCTAGCTCATACCCTGCAAATCTGCCTAAGTCTTTGGAAAGCCATGTACTCAGGCTCTCTCCAGGATCGGGGAATGACCCAACCTCGGCATTAGTGCAAAGGTTGGCCTTTGCAGACATTGCCCAGTTGTTTAGCTCGCTCCCCTGCACATGAGGAGATGACACAGTCATAAACCCTCTCACCATTAATGGCGAGGTTTTCCAGGCTGAAATTAATTCCTTAATGCGCCCCAACATATTTGGCTGGTCGCCACGCCCATCTTGATCTGGGGTGGCGCTATTTGCATGAGATAGTGGGACTTTGCGGAAGACTCGCCGATGTCGTCATTGACTGTCGACGTATACAAGAAATGCGATAAGGTCTTTGCTTGACTTGGTTGTCTCACCGAAAGGCCTCACGTGCAATCCACTTACACTCTTTAAACACTTTCAAGACGGCAAACTTTACCAGAATTCACTGGGTCACAGCAGGAACCCCAAGACTGGAGCTTAGACTTACGGTGCCCATAATCCTGGCTTTCGAACTTTGTGGGAGAGATGATGAACCCCACGAAGAGCGACAAAAGCAAGGAGCCGGTCGACCAAAGGAGACTTCCAGGGCCAACAAAAAGGCTCTGGAGAAGACAGCCTGTGGGTTTCCAAGCCGAGTTAGGCAGCGTGGAAGCCTCGGCCGCAGGTACTGTGTTGGAGGAGAGGGGGTGGTTGAGGGCGCTCTTAACCAAGACACGGGGGACGTCGAGGCCACGGCGTAAGTCTGCTCCGTTCGGATGGGCTCATTGGCTTGCGCCGAGGAAGACTCCAGTGTTTCGAGACTTTTCTTGATCTTTTCGGCGCGGATCGAAGAGTTCTTCGCGATTCTTGGTTAGTCGTAAGTGGAGGGTTCTTCGGAACGAAGTTGTTTCATGTGGGTGAAAGATCTCTTTGAATACAACTTGCGCGAGAGGGCAGTAGGTCCTGTTTAGCTACTTGGCGATCTTGCAAGCTTCTCGTAGAAAGAGACTTTGGGGGAAGAGAGAATGTTGAAGGCGAGCTAATGTGTACCCAAGGCTTCCACTGCTGCGGGCTCAACAGCGTCAGGGTTTGGTTCTCCTGGAGAGGCGTATCACTTATGTTAGGGAGAGCAAACTGATAAGTGCTACTATTCATTATAGTTGAGAGTGGAACCTGGTGAAATCTGAGAGACAATTTCGTCACAAGATGTAAGGGTCGGACCCTTTCATGGAAGTCTGGCGACGCCATGCTGATGCCGACACCATTCCTCTCACAGATTATCCGATAGGCCTCAGACAGCGTGTGCTAGACTCGAGTACTCATACACTCCCGTGCGGCTCCCGGCCCAACGGGCCAGCTCATCAGGATCCGAAATCTCGGGACTTGGGCGCTGGTAATTCTGGGATGTGATGCCACGCAATATGAACGTTCCGGGTTCTTGCGTCGAACTTCCCTCGTCAACGTCAGGTAGTAACGAAACCCAGGCTTGGAGACTTTTGTATGTTCTGTGGTTGCGTCTATGAATTTCCTAATGAAAGCTCTCGTATCAGTTGTAGCATGGTAAGAATTTGATGACAGGAGACACGGCTGCGCCGCAAACCAGGCTGGGCAAGCTGGTCATGCTGTGATCTCCATGCTTCGTTGCAAGAGATGTCTCTGATCACGTTCAACCGAGATGCACACAACCTGGCTGCCACCGTCTTCTTCAACCCATTTCCCGGCCGCTTCCTGGAGTTTTGAGCATCCCCACACAAAAGACTGCATCCTCGGGCTTAAGAAACCATGAAAGAAGCTACTCTCGCTAGATAGAATCAACCTTGATGTTGATGAGTTGTTCTAGCAATGCCAAGCATCATAGATAACCAAATACGGCATCTCCGCGAAATGGAGGGGCCTGGACTGGTAGAGAACCGTCTCCATTTGTAAGGAGTTGAACTTATCGTATCTATATACTGAGAACCATTGCAGTCGTTCCAGCTTTACACAAAATATATACAAGATAGTCAAGGGAGATATAGCGCGAGGCATAACGAGACCTTCATGTGAACTCTCAGCTCTGGTCGGACTTGCAAAGGTCAGGAGAGCCCATACGGGCGTTGAGCATGGCGCAGGTCTATGGCAGAAGGAACTTCGCTTTGTATTGCTTTGGGTCCGGGACGAAAGGGCCCCATGACTTTCGCCTTTTGCCGAGGCATATCGTGCCCCAACATGGTGCTGGGCCGCTCTTGAAAGGTCAATAGCGGTGACGTGTCTGATACATCTTGGATGCGACCTCATGAAATCGTGTCTTCGGACATCAAGAAATCTCGAAAGCCGTGTGGTCTTGAAACTAATGGGACCATTGAATCCGGCTGAGTTGTTTTAAGTGACAAATTCAGGAGTTGTCATCCGCGCAAGAGTCCGAGGGATCCGGAACATGAGCAGGTTCAGAGCCTTTCGGCCCAGAAGGTTGCAGTATTAACTGACCCAGCCAATAGGACTCCGTTGAACATGGATTAATGTGGTCACGTCTTCACTTCAATGAATTTGGCGGCGGGAACAAATCACTCGCGACTTGTACATGGGAAACGGCTGGTAAGGCATTCTGGTACTCGAGCCCGCACTGCCTTGTATTTTCTCTCGGCCATTTGGCCTTCTCGGGCCCAGCATTGATCTCAGAGGGTCTGCTTAATGCGAGTTGACACCAAGCATAACAAGGTATTTTACATTCCGTCAACAAGATAGAATTCCGCGCCGACTCTAGAAATCAACCTGCTATGGTAATGGGATCAGCTTCCAGATTCTTTCGTCGCTTTAAGAGTACCGGGATCCTAGTGGCTGCGGTGAACAGTCCCATTACGTGTCAAGATCCCTCCGGAGCAAAGCTGGGTTGCCAAAGCAGACGCCAGAGTCCCTTGTTGAAGTTCATCCAGGAAACTGTAGATGTAATGGTTTCGGGCAGTTCTGACTTCATTCCATACATGTCATTTTATCCGAACCTTGATACTATTCTCAAGGAGATAGAGCTACTTGTGATATCCCTGTAAGGACTATAAAGCAAGACTGGCCGCTCCCTTCCATGCCTAGCCCCAGAATTAACATAGCGAACGCATTGGGTACTTAGAACTGTGCTCTTTTCAACCCAGCTGATGTGTCCCTGAGAAATTACCACATACGATGGGAAATGTGGCTACTCAGACGAAAGAGGTTTCTTGGGTCCCACCCTCATGTTGACCTTGGACTAAGGGGTCTCACGGGAGCCATGAAGAACGAGAAGAACAATCAAAAGCAAGGACATTCGGAGAATGAGATTCAATATCTACCTTTTCATCGTTTTCTTCTCGGTTGTTCCCAACTGGGACTGGCAGCCAAGATGATCACGATATCGCGGGACAGATGAGCAAGATAACCCTTCTGAAAACAGAAGATGTGAAGTTATCTCGCTGATCACAAACTTAATAGATTATCCAGGGTCTAAACGACATGAATAAACCATGCGGAGATGGGCAACCTGCAACAACTATGTTGTGTTTTATTACGTTCTGCGAGAGACATTGTCACTGAACTTCCTGATAAAGCAACAGCCACAAACGTTGATTCTCCAATTATTCAAGCAGCAACAAGAAGCCCCTTTCAACACAAGGCGCCCTGCATTGAGACACGATCGAAGCCAATGACGGCGGCGACATCTACTTCGACACATAGACCAAGTCAACCTGATACCCAATGCCAGACCTCCTTGACCCTCTGATCCAGAATCAGCACGTCAGTCGTGCCATCTGGATCCCCGTGCATTTCCTGGTCCCGATAACAAGAATAAACAGATGTTGCGTTGGCACACAGCCGAGGGCTGCTGACATGGCATGCCTTGACGGCGGTCATGTGTGGTCAGCTGCGCTCTTGACCCCGGACCAGGCCACCAGAGCAGCACCTTGTCTTCCTAATTGTACGCGCAGTCAATGAGAGTATCGACGACCGGGACTGCCTCATCTTCCTCGGTCCCGCCGACCTGGATCCTCCCACATCCTCCCCCAAGAGAACAACCGAGACACTGCGGAGGATTTCGCGAGCCCTGAGGCCACGCAACGGAGAAGGCGATAGCACTACGCGAAACCTCATTGTCGTTGCTGTTTACTAGGCGCTTCAAGCCAGGCATACTGCTCAGAACAAGAACTCAAGAGTATCTTCGATTTCAGGGGTCGAGCAACGCGGTTGGCCCGTCGAGAGGCACACTGGTCGCTTACTCCAGCTCAACGAAACGGCAGGATGCCTAGCGTGACAAACGTGGCATTGACCTTCAGCCTGCAACGATGGAAGCCATCACAAGATCGAAATTGCAAGACTGCGCCTCCTGGAAAGAAGCCTCGTCAACCTGAGGCTCCCTAGGACACTTCTAACCCGGGAAGGTAGAGACAACACCACTTTAGCTCATCGCCCGTCTCGACAATTCGTCCCGGATAGGAGAAAGTCAACTGGCACTTCCTCCCGTTCACGGCCGCTCGTGCGTTTCTGGATTGGTATGTTCCAACCCACAGCTCCCAAAACGAGCCGTTTCCAACAATGCCCAGCACGGCACATCGTAATCAAACCGCTTACAGCAGATCCTCCAGTCTGCAGGCGGCCTCTAGGGCAGCGGTTCCACGGAAACAGCAGTTCTCGGTGGTGTGAAATCTGCCAAACAGCACCCAAGGCCGCAACTTTGAACCCTTTGACGGCAGATATACCCCAACCGTCGCAGGCAACTGTTGATCCACGTATTGTTTCTTCTCTTCCCCACCGTCATCTTCAACGTCAGGATTGAGTTTGCGTTGTATCTGGACTTCTCCAACTTGGTGGCTGTCGCTAAATGCGAGAAGTCTTTGATAACTCCGAGAATTACATGGAGATGCAGTTGTGGAGGAGCTCTTCAGGCTGCAGTTGTCGCAGAAGCGTTGACGCCGCAGTGCAGGACCGTCTCCAGTTTCTTCTTGTCGAAGAGGGTTTTCTGGTCGCAGGCTAGGCCCATCTCACTCGTGGCGGCCATGTCGGCACTCCCGTACCTGTCGGCCACGTAGTAGAGTAAGGGCCCGCACCTCAAGCATTCGCACAAAACGTCGTATCTCGTGGGCTTCAGAGGGACCTTAACGGTGGAGGCGATCTTGAAGAACAGACCCGACTATCTCTTCGATACGATTGGGATCCTGATGTGCGGTATTTTGTGTGAGGAGGGGTACCCCATGGCCTCCGGAACCTTCCTGGTGTTCCTGACCAATGTGTCGATCGCCGCCATAACGTCTTTGTCGTCCTGGTACTCCATCGCCTCCGCCCACGCTTCAGCGTTGCACGCGGCAAACTAGTCCTTCTCCGTCCTCGCGATCCGCTTCGACATGTACTTGATCACGTCGCTCTTCACTGCCTCCAGCTTGCGGTTCGAAATGTCGTGGAGCCTGGCCACTAAGTGGGAGCACCTCTTCGCCAAGGCAACCTGGTCGATCGTGACGTTCTCGGCCCCCGTCTTCGAGATGTAGAACCTCACGCAGGCGGCGAGGATCAAGGCCAGCGCCTTCGCCCAGACGGTCTTCTTGTTGGGTCAGCCGGAGATCGCCGTGGTCGTGAAGGGCCTGTGCACCCAGTTCAATGTCGTCGAGTTGTTCGCCATCATGTTGCAGTGCACCGAGAAGATTGAGATGCCGCTTTTGTGCTCAGAGTTGATGCTGACGCTGTCGTCGATCTCGCTGCTGAGAAGGGAGGCACCCTTGTAGATGTCGTCCCCAATGTTGGGCGGCGGGGCGAGGCCGGAATAGCTCAACTTGGGCACGGTAATCGTTCTCTTGTGGCTCCGGCCCATCATCGCGGCGTGGAAGCCCGTCCTGAGATTCTCCAACTTGTTGACACTGTTGTCCAATTCGCTGCTCTCGATGGTGCGGTGCGTGATCTTGCGCTTCAAGAACTCCTTCGGGTCATCCAGCGACAAAGCGGAGTCGCTGTTCAAGATGACGGTCGCGCTCTCAATTCTCGCATCGCTGCAGAAGATGGTCTCGTCCATCTTGTCGTATGCCTTCGACACCTCGTAGTCCGCGTGGCAGCAGACCTTGTAGCACTTGTCAAACCTCAAGCTTCTCTTCTCCCGGAAAGACTTCAACCGCCTCGCCAACAAGAACTACAACACGGAGATTAGCGACGGCCAGAACAAAGTGCTGAGACTAGAGACCTACTTTGCTGTCGACGAGACGTAGAGGAAGATGTGGTCCAAGGACTTCGTGATCGAAAGAGACTAGGTGTTCTGCATGACGCCCACGACGCAGAGCAAGCGCCCGAGTTCGTGCAGTGCTCGAGGCGCGGGTGTATCTACACATCAACCGTAGCTGATTGCCGGTCCCGCACGACCATGTCGGGGTTGTTGAAGTGTCCAAACCATGCCGGCCTTAAAGGTGCTGTTCAGAATTCGCCAGTAAGTCGAACAAGGGCAAGACCGTCGCTATTTGCTACTACATTCAGCTTAGTAACGACGGAGTAATTAAGTAAATCAGGGCATACTAAGAGGATAAGTCAATCTTTAAGGATCTCATTTATATATTACCTTTCCTATATTAAAGCTATTATTTAATAATAAGAATTAACTTAAGCTTTATTATACTTAATATATCTATAGAAACTATTAACTTAATATTATTATTAAAAAAGATTTAAATAATAATATTTATTATAGTATTTTTATTAATATAATATATAAAAAAGATATTATTAATATAATTTAAATAAAAAGAGATATTATATTTTAAAGTATTAAGAAACTAAAGGAAGTTGAAGCTTAAAATTATATTAAAAATAATTATAATAGAGATTAATATAAAATAGAAAATATAAAATAATATTTTAAATAAATAAATATATAAAAAAATAAAGTTTATAATATAATCTTATAAATAAAAGGGATAATTTCTTATAAATTAATATCTCTTATTAAGATTTTACTTTCTTTAACCTTAAGGATAAAGCTATTTAATATATTATTATATATATTATAAAGTTTAATAAAATAGAGTTTTACTCTTTTAGAATATTAAATATTAAATATATACTTATTAAGTATAATAAGATATCTATAACTAGATTATAAGGGTAGCTATATTATATTATATAGCGTATTATATTTATTTACTTAAGAATCTCATTAAGACCTATTGTAAAGGTACTATGAGCCTTAATGTGGGGGAAGGATTACTTATTCTGCCCGTTTAAGAGATAGAGTTATGGAGCGACCGTCACTTACTTGAGGCTGGACGGGATGGGACGGGAAGACGGTCGCTGGAGCGAACGTCGGCCCGCAGGCTCACGTGCCATGCATGTGACTCACACGTGACGTGAAATAATCCACGACGCTGGCCACAATGCACCAAAGTATCGCTTGAGTTGATTTTTCTTTTTCCCTTTTTCCATGGGAATAGCACAATTGACTGCTTGATTCGACACGGAGGCATCGCGACAGGACCAGTGTCAGCACCAACGCCAGCCCGAGGAACTTCACGCCAACCCTCTGGAACATGTTGGCAGAGACCGCCGCCGCCGCAATGATCAGCTTCGTGATTGTGGATCGAGGGGGTCAGATCCAAGCACACGACCAGCGCCAGGAAGGATCCGCAGATCGCGCTCATCGCCCACTTCTGCTGCTGCTTCGACCACCTGCACCTCATCAGGACCATGATAAAGAACGACATCCCCATGCCCGACGTCATGTTGGCCGACTCGTTGGCGATGTTCAAGGTGCTGAAGGGGAAGAGGATCTGCGCCAAGTTGACGGCCTTGAGGGACAAACACGCCCTTGTGTCAAACACATGCACCACGACGCCGAGAGCGACGACACCGCGTTGACGAACATCATGATATCCGCCTTTCAGACCTTGCCCGGCGTGTACAGGGGGCTCTCTATCCACCTCAACGACTACAAGGAGATCGTGGGCCTCAACCTTGACAAGCCCAAGTGCACCATGAGGGACAGGTTCACCGACGCGAGGTCCTATATCAAGATCCACGACTACACGGACGAGTTTCTTCAACATGGAGATGGCACCGCCTCCTGGTTGCTCGCCCTGGTTCACCGCCTACAACATCTGCATCTACCGCATCATCTACTTCGTCGACTAGCGCGCACGCAACCTCAACAACTAGGACAGCACCAAGAGCTACGCCTGCATTGCAGTGGTCTCCTATTTCTCGCCTGAAGTTCGACTTGAGCAACACCGAATTTATCAACATTCCCATATCGTGCATGACGGTCGTCACGAACCGCAACATCTCCGTCTACATCTTCGTCCTTGCCTGAAACCAGGGCAACTAGACGAAGCAGGTCGTGTTGTCCTAGTTTTCGAACAAGGAGAAGAACCTCTCGGCCTCGGCGTCGAAGTTGTTCAAAGCTTCTGCCAACGGCTCGCCCATCTCGGCGATCGACGACTCGTCCCTAAGGTCCATGATGGTCAAGAGGTTCTGCACGATGTAGTCCACCTTCGTCATGTGAGACAACGTCTTCCTCCACTTCTTGATGAGACCTGACTGCAACAGGGCGAACTACCTGCCGTTGAGGAGTCTCATCTTCATATTCACGTTGGAGAACGGCACGACCGATTCCACGCCCGCTTCGATGGCAGCATTCTGGACGCAGTTGATAATGATATTCTTGCTCATGTTCTACCTCGAGCTACCGACGGTAGTCTCACTAACCCCCGAGGCGGCCACGCTGTTTACGCTCCTCTTCATCTCGACCGGCCTGGGGGTGATCATTTCCTCCACGACCAAGGTGGGCTTTTCGGCGTCGTCTCTATTGTTGGCCTTGGTGGAGGTCGTGTGGTAGATCCACTGCTTCATGCTCATGCCGTCGTCCCTCTTGAGCAAGGGGCGACCGGGACCGTCTCCTTGACGTAGACGCCGTACTCACCCTTCAACATGGTGAAGAGGCCCTCAGTATGGCTGACGAAGATCTCCGTCCAGCCCGCCGAGTTCTTCAGCGCCTTCGTGTACTCCTCGATCACCAACATGAACTCGTCGTAGGTACTCTTTTCCATCACGTCGGCGGTAAGCGCCATCTTCATGTACCTCTTCTTCCAGTCGATTCTGGCAATTTTGTTCGTGAGCGGCTTCCACTCGGTCATCCCATCGCTGCAATTCTCGATGTTGCCGAAAGCTATCGACTGCTGGGAGATGGCCTTGCCGGTGGGATCGACGAGCTGGGCGAACTGCGTGTCCTGGCGATGCCGAACGGGCCGCTGCTCTTGTACGTCGACTGACCACTCCTCAAATCCTGACCCTTCAACATGGAGATGGCAACTTGCTGGTCTCCTTCAAGAGCTGCTTTCCCGAGACTAGGACTGAGGACAGGTTCTGCGCCTCCTTCTCGACGTCGTCACCGGTCTAGAAGAGCCCCCAGTTGGGGTTCCCGACTTCTGGAACATAGTCTTGACCTTTTAGTTGAACTTCTGGGACCAGACATTATTGCGCAGGCTGGTCGAGGCGGTCATCAACTGAGCGTGTAAGATGGAGAGCCTCTTCTTGGAGTCGTCCGATATGTTCTGGGCTACCTCGTTCAAGCCGAGAATGTCGTGCTTGCCCGCGTTTGGGTCTATGAACTCTTCATCGTCCTTTTGGTCGTCATCATCATTCTGGCCCTTGTCCCTAGAGTTGGGAACGTCGAGGTCAGTCCTCTCGTTCAGTGTGCTTGTCGTTATCCGCGAGGTTGGCGTTCTTCTCCATTTGTTCTGCGATGTCATCGTCGTTCCTCATCGAGATGGGACTCTTGGCTTTGGGGTTGACCATGGTCGGGGTGGCGTTATTCCTTTTGGAGGGAGTCGACATGTCGCCGTTCTGGATGTTATTCCAGCGGATGTAGTAGTTGATGGCTTCACGTGTTTATCTCGTTGTTATCCAGACAGCGGCGGATCTATATTGGAACTACCGTTGTCGGGACGCTCGTTTTCGTGGGGGTATCTTTCGATCTACCCGACGTTGTACATCTCTGTCTGCATCATCTGGCGGCTCGACGCGTAGATGTAGTCCGGGAGCGCCTGCATTTCCGCTACTTGCTTCCTCTCCTACTTCGAGTTTTCTGTCAAGTTCTTCCCGTGCTCGGTGTAACTTATCTTGTGGGCCCTAAAGCCTTGCGAGTAGCCCGTCCCCATCTCATTTATTATCATGATGTCTGGCGATATAGCCTCCGACGCGGTGACCACAGTCTTGGTGTCCATTCCGCACCTCACTACCATCACCCACGTTGCGCTCCTGCACTGCGACTCATCGCTTGACCGGCCGTGCATGAGCCCAGCCGTGATCTTGTTCACTTCCCTTCTGGAGAAACTGTAGATCGTGATGGCCGGGCTGGTTGGCACGCACCTCAGACTGGACTCAAACACCGCGATTTCCATCGAGACAAACTTCACCACGACGGTCTTGGTGAGCTTGTACGGCGAGAGGGGCGTGAGGTCCGACATTTCATTGTCCATGAGGTAAATCACGAGCCTCCTCTGATGTTGTTCGTGATCGAGGCCTTGTCATTGAACGGGATGTGGTCAGTGATGACGAGAGCGCTGTGCGACAAGAAACCCGTTCGCCCGCCCTTCATCGTGACCGGAGGCCCGGATGTTCGGCCCTTGATGTTTTTGTAGGGGAAGCCGTCCATATGAGTCTACAGTCAACGTTCACATCAAGCAGTAGGAAAAGCCATGCTTGATGTCGCACTCTTCGCAAATCAGGAAGCGCTCCGAGGGCAGGTGCATCACTGGCTCCGAGTTCAGACATTTGGCCTTGGAGCCGAATAAGTCCTCCGACCACCAGACCGACGCGTCGGGGATCAACCTCGTGAACAACTTCAGCGACCTTGCTCTTGCCCTCATGGCCGTACCTGCCGTAGAGCACCATCACCGAGCCGCCGTCGTTTGGCCTGCCGAGGGACTCTAGTTGACGTCTACCTCGGGGAAGATTGCAGGTGAGGGCATATCGATGGGGCTCTCGATGACATCAACGTGAGCACCTACGAGAGGAGGAGCAACTTCACCCTCCCGCACGACGAGATCGTCAACATCTGCACTTCAGACGGCACTTGATACGACAAGTCGTCGGAGGGCGTGTGTTACTGCATTAACTCCAAGGGCAAGTCCGGGAAGATCAAGCTGGGACCCGACGAAACCCGAAGATGATCAAGTGCGGGAAGTCACCCGACACCTTCAAGAAGGCGTACGAGATCATTGAACTGCTGGATCAGGACATCGTGTCGATCCACAACGGCTTCGGCTTCGACCTCACGAGGATTACGGCGCACGTCTCCGTCTTCCCTTGGGGAAACCATGAAGATGAGGAGCCTCGGCAATAGCGTATCCGCGTGTACTGAAAGTTCCCCAACGGCACCACAATCGTCGACTCCATATACAACATCGACAAGTACCTGAAGTCCGGGTGGTCATCAATCTCGTCGGCCAGCATGTTGAACGATCTCGACCTGCCCCGCAAGCTGAACGTCGACTATATGGTGGTGAAGCTGAACAAGAAGTACGATGTGTCGAAGATGTTGGTCTGCAACATCAGGGACCTCAACCTTCACGCCCTCGTCGTCGAGTACATATCGAGTTGCGACAGACTCTTCGCGTTGGCTGGGATATCAAGAAGCACGTTCTGGGACACCATCGCCGACAACTTGGGTCAGATAGTCTTCTGCTACATCGCGTCCGTCTCCATTTCGATCAACATGGGCCTGGATATGAGCACCGTGTTCAGCTCCGGTGAGAGGGGTTCGAGGGCGGGTTCATCTTGACACCCGTCCCCGGCTGCTAAAAAGGCGCAGTGGTGATCGGCGGCAACTCCCTCCACGGCTCGATCATTCCCATGCTGATGGTCTACATAGACTGTTGCGTCTCGTCGAGGAGCATCAAATTCCTTTGCGAGAAGGCGTTGATCGACAGGTCCAAGTTCCCTGACGCCATTGAGACCAACAACGTGGTCGACTCCGGGGAAAAGGTTTTGATGAAGGACAGCACCGAGTACATGTACATCATCAAGGGGAAATCCACGTTGCTGAACACGGCGTGAAATGCCATGATCAAGGGGAGGATGAAGTCCGAGACGTAGGGGAAGCAGGGTAGGGCCGTAGGATATAAGTTGTGTACTGTCAGCGGGTTCGGGGCCGCGCCTAGCATGCACGGGGTGACTATCTCTAAGACTTGCGCCGAGATCGTTACCTATTGCGTGACGTACTACATGAGTATGATGGTGAAGTTGACGAGGGCGTGCGACTTCGATGTTATCCACGGCGTCACAGACTCCATCTTCATCAAAGTCAAGAAGGAGATGGGGCAGGAGCATAACATCAGCGCGGATTTCATCAAGAGCAAGATCACCCAGTAAGTCGAACTAGAACTCCATCGTTACGGACACGGGGGCTTACGTCAAGGACATCTATAAGTCCATCATTATCTTAAACAAGAAGAAGTACGAGGGCGACGACGCTGGACGCGAAGGGTCTGGCTATCGTGAAGAATGATTCGATCAAGGCCGCAAAGTACGCCCTCGGCATGGTGATGAAGGCCCTGCACGACGACGAGAGCCAAGAGAACACGACCAGAACCCTGGTCGACATCGTGGGCAGGGTCATTTCGGCGATCCAGCAGGGCTTGACGGACGACATGTGGATGGTGTCGGAGACAAGAGTCTCAGGGCAGCCCCACCACGTCTACGTGGACGAGAACGGGAGCTTGCAGAAGATCCAGGTCGAGATCGGCTTGAAGCCTAGACACGTCAGTAAGAAGCGGGCGACGGAAGGGGCCGTGAAGACGATCAACTGTACAAATCCCGATGGGCATGAACAACGTGAAGGAGATGAAATTTGCGTACAAAATGTTCGTAACAGTCTTGAAGAACTCCGACAAAGGGAGGATCCCGGAGGCGTCCTGGCAGACGATCAAGCGCATCCTTGGGCAGATCAACCGGATCGTAGGAACACGTTTCCAAACACAAGCCCATCCCTTCTGGAACATGTGCAGAAGAACGACAAGTACCACGTATTGTGCCCGCTGTCGGAAAGCTCCGTGATCTTATTGTCGTTTCCCGTGCGATTGTAGTTTCTCTTGACTCCGAGGGTCTGCTCGAAGTGGATAGACGCCAACCACTTCGCCGTCAGCTAGATGTGTGCCACCGCCACCATGGTCCCGCTGATCGGCGACGGCTCATTGATATGGGATGTGAGACGAAATTGATGGTGCGGGAGAACGCGTGCAAGACCATCAATACCAAGACCCTCCCCATCGTCATCAAGAAGTACCAGAGGTTCTCGATAACGTCGATCTTTAACAAGCCGGTGACGGCCGCTGCGTCCAACTACGACGTAATCCCCCCGCAGACCTCGCCAAACTCGCAGATAATGAAGTGTGCCCAGGTGTACACCCAGATGGGACCCTTGACAGCCCACACCCAACATCGTGGCCACCGAAGCCATGTTTCACTGCGAGGATAACAACCTCTGTAAGACGATATACTAGCCCATGGAGACAATCTCATGCTCATACGCCACCTCTGGCTTGATCGAGACCAACGCACTCGTCTCGGCAATTGGCGTGAGGAGCGACGATAAGTTCTGCCACTTGGACGTCCAGAAGTCGAAGTCCTCGAACAGGAACTTCCTGGACTCCGATTGCACGGTGTCGATGCGGGTGATGACATCGAGAACGATCCAGATCGCCATCGATATGCTCTCGCAGATGGAAACCTCGATCTCGGGTTTCGAAGACTGGACCGGGTGGTGTCTGGGGTACACATTCAGGATGAACCAGTCCGACGTGCTCGCGGTGGGGAGGAAGTGGTCCCAGTAGTGCGAGCCCGGCATGTAAACCGTGCACATCTTCGACTCTAAGATGGTCATGGTGATCTCCGTCTCCAGCGGGATCTTGATGAGGCCTATCAGGCTCGACTACGGCTGGTTGAAGTTCTCGATGAAGGGCCCGTTCGTCGATACCATGTGCGTGTACTCGAGTTACACCATGAAACCTCGACACGCAGTTCTCGACGCATGGGGACGAGCCGGAGCAGATGGCCTCGACCATCGCCAGGATGGTGTCGTTCTATGACATCTCAATGAAGCCCATGACCGACCTGGGGATGGAGATGGTGATACAGGCGTTGTGCTCCCAGTCGATCAAGTGCGAGGCCACGATGTTCGCTAACGGCGACAGCCTCCCCATCGTGCTGACTAGTTTCGCCAAGACGGTAGTCTGCAGTGAGGCCGAGAACTCCAAGATCGTCATCCCGGGCAGAAACATGGTGATACTAAGTCGGGGTGATTCACATTGTCGGGCGTGGTCAACTACCTGCTCCCACGGTTTTGCAGCAAGTTGAAGGCGGCCGACGTGATTTTCTCCAAGGATTGGCGGAGGCCACCGACCCCAGTGTAATTCTCATACCTACTTAAACAGGAGCGGCGGGATAGACGCCATATAGTACGTATACAAGAAGTAGCTGGAGATCGGAGACAAGTTGGCGACTTGGCATAGCCTTAAGTTCACGGTGGGCTCTATGATGATGTACGATGATATGCTGCAGTTCGAGGACACCAGACAGGTGATCTCTTCAGGCCCACGATATTCGCCTCCACGGAAAATCTCAAGCAGCACTACCCCATCTTCCCGGTCACCTCGATCGACGTCGCGAGGGACAGGTACAAGGGCGGGACCCAAAGGGTGTCATAGACCGAGGTTCTGTCGATGATGACAGAGGGGCTCGACATGATGGCGAAGGAGTGCCTCTAGAGCTCAGACCTGGTGAACGTCACGATCTTCCCTATCTGCAGGGCGATCCCTATTTACTGCGACTGCGCGACACCGAGGCTGCCGACCACAACCGTCTCACTTAGGCACTCAGGCATCAGGCTCAACGTTCTTATCACCACCGCAATACTCAGCAGCAGCAAGCAGAGCCACTCACGCTCCAGTTTTAATGCAAGGAGCAGAACAAAATTATCATCACCGCACGGTCCAAACTCTCCATGGTGTCCTTGTCCATGTCGATTGACAACCACGAGATGATCGCCGTCTTGGCCTTCGGAATGTTGCTCCGGTGCGTGATCTGCTCGTCGTACGTCGACATCCCAAACCTCGAAGAGATAGGGGACTCCTGCCCCTCAGGTGAGATCAACGTCACTATCACCGGCTCCTTGCTGATTATGATCATCTGCTTTATTTTGTCGTGGATGAAGCCGCGGCCGTGAATTGGGACGTCGTGCATCATGAAGATGTCGATATCGCTCCAGCAGTTCGACATGCTGATGGATAAGACCGTTGGGATTGTTACCGTGGGCGAGGTGTCCACCCAATAACATCATGCCCTCGTGCGTGAGGAAGTCCTGCAACCTGCCCTGGAAGACCAGCACGCTGCCCGGTCTCCTCGAGATCTCCTTCAGCTACTCCATCATATGGTCCTGCGGGTTGTAAGATATAATCCTCGTCTCGCAAGTGTCAACGTTGGGTTCCATGACGGTATAGGAGTAATTCGATAAGTCCATCTCTTTCGGCTCGTAGAACTTGGCGAACCCCACTGAGATGATAACATTCCCAGCCGCGACTGCCTGCGTCTTAGCGCTGCTGTATATCATCTTGCTCATGGTGAACGAGGCGGCCTAGATGCCATACAAAATGGCGGAAGCCTTGCTGTTGCTTAGGCGCTGATGACGGACCTCTTAATGATCTCCAGGGTATGAGGCTTAGTCTTGGTCAACCTGGCCCCGGGCTTCGAGAGGAGGACGCTATTAGCTGACTTGATCCTGGTCACGTCATCTCGTACACCATGTCTTCCTTCATCGACGGGTCCGCGGGCGCGTACGAGATCTTCATCACCGTGACATACCCCCAAAACCGGCCGGGCCGGCCGTTCTCGCAGATCAAGTCGACCGTGGTCTGCTTCTTCCTCGACGTCCTCATGCCACCGATGCACACGTAGCCGTCGAAGGGTTTGACTGAAAGTCACGACGAGGGGACTTATTCGAACTTGTCCCAGAGCCTCCTCGCGATCATCGGGGGCCTCGAGGTCATCGTGATCGGCTTGGACATGTAGGTCCTGGGCTCGGGTCAAACGGTCCCGCATGAGGAGAGGTTTTCGATGACTATCAAGTCGCTATTGATCATCACCTCCGCCACCACAGTGTCCGGCCGCTTGTTGTAGCTCTCAAAGTTTGAGCATCCCTGGTTCACGCTGTAGTTGATGACGTAAAGGTGGCTACCGGCGAAGCAGGTGACGTAGCCGTCCTGTAGCAGAAGATATAGACCTTCATATCGTCCGAATTGTGGGTGAAGATGCTCTTGCAAATGGCCAGGTCTCTGACGTCCACCACGTCGTGATCGGTGTACCTGGCCTCCGACGTGAAGTGCTTCTAGACGTAGGACGACATCCTGGTGATAGGCGACGTCAAGTTGATGATCCTTGAGACGGCCGTCTTCATCTCCGTGTCGGTTACTGAGGTCAGGAACTCGATCTCAGACGAGTTCGTGCAGTCGCAGCCCTCTTACCACCTCGCGATGACCTTTACCTCCACCTGGCTGATCTCGCACGTCGGGCTGTACTCCGAGAATCTCGTGACGTGCTGGGGCTTCACGGCCCTCCCCGAGAAGCTTTAATAGTGCGACGCGACCACTGAGAGGCTGGGCATGAAGTCCGATTGCGAGATCCTGATCTTGATCACATTTTCGTCCTCTCCTTTTGATCTCGCCTTTGCGATGCCAACCAACCTCTCGACCCACGCCGAGCACCCCGACTCGCCGTACGACCTGGACCCATGGTCCAGAATCCCCTGGACGATGGCATCCGAGACAAGCTTCGACATCCCCCCGCACATCCTCCGCTCCATCTCTTTCGAAGGTGCGTCGGGGACCGAGAAAATCAACACTGGCTCGATGGCGTCGACGAGGCTCTTCAGGACGGTCTCTTTGAAGTCCTTGAAGTTGCGGAGGCCTGCCCTTCATCCTCTCCATGGTCGACGTCAAGGCCTCGTAGCCCTGCTTGCACTTACACACCAGCAAGTCAGGCGCCTCGTCGAGCCCCAGCTTCGTGTGCTGGTAGGAGGCCTTCGAAGTGTCCTGGACCAACCCGCAGAACTTGTAGATTCGGAAGTCGTTGTTCGTGATGGTGCTGGCAGTGTTCGACTTCTGGACTCGTATGTGTACTTCATCTGCTGCCAATTGATGTTGACTTCGCACGCTATGTTAGCAAATTGGTGGTATCACAAGGGGGCGTACGTACGTGGGCTTCCAAAAAGTGGTGTGTTGAAGCATGCGGAAGGGAAATTCTGGCCCGGTTGGCGCGCGCGATGGCGGCAGTATAGTGGGGGTGGAGCCTGGTCCTCACACCGCCCACTTACGCCGCCCGATTCTGCCGGCTAAACCCACACACAAATCGACCTACCTTAGAACGGGACCATCGACTTGTCCAACAAGAACCACATCTTCTGCATCGACAATATGTGCTACATCATCGACAGCACCTGCAGCCTCTGCTACAAACCCATCTGCATGAAGATCAACATCTGCCCGCAAGTATCGAACGGGTCCATCAGCCTCTCCGACGAGATCTCGAACTACGAGATCCTAAAGAACTCGTTCTCGTACTAAATTTACCGCCGGGAGTCGGTGTCCGAGTTGGACATCAAGAACCTGATGCGCACGGTCACGGCGAGCAACCAGTACCCGCTGTGCAGGAAGCAGAACGAGGAGGAGACGCTGAACGCCACGAACTCGACGAACGAGGATTCTGGCAGCAACTCCGGCATCCCGGACTCGATAAGAAGCCCGAGGATACGGGCCGTCCTCCAGAAGTCGAAAGTCGGGGACAAGATTTCGTTCGACATCACGGAAGACCTCGTAGTGACCACCAACCTCGTCGACAAGAGGCCGACCAAGTCGCCAGCTGTCAGCGAGATGGCGGAGATCACAATACAGTCTAACACGAGCGGAAGCGAGCAACTCTAGTGACTGATAGGTAAGTTGCCTTCTCTGACTGCGACGTCTTCAGTGGTGAGCGAGGGCGCGTTTAGTCGAGCGCAGGTGTTTACCTAGCTAAACGATGCGCGCTCCGATGCGGTGCTGACCGGTGAAGATATTCCTGCACGCGGACCATCAACTTCGAAGCTGTCTCTGCGGTCTTCTGACAATTTCCTTCTCTCCTCTTCAAGTTTTCTAATGCTGATTCCCTGGGACGGTATAGATTTAGATGTAGTGGTCGACGGGCGGGAGAGGGTGGGTGTCAGACGCGCGGGCCGACAATGGCGATGTGGTATGGCCGCTCCTTGGTTGTACTATTTAAGGAGAACGGGTGGAAGTCTCAAATTAAAGAAATAAAACACTAGAGAATAAGGTGTTTATGTTTTTCCCATTTTATATTCAAATTGAATCAGGGAAGACATTTAGTGATGATAGCTTTTTGGCCCCACTTGAGCCCTTTCCAGTATAACACGTCTGAGGAATCTGGAGTATGTAACCCCCCTAACACAAATCAACAGCTTTGAACTCTGGGATCCGGCCCACTACACTTAGTACATAAATTAACAGTAGAGCTTTCATTAATCTTCAACGCAAATATAATCTCTGGTGTCAATAATTGGGCATCTCCACTTGGTAGATGCGCGTTTTGATACTTGAAGATGGCGTCCTTCCGTTGACCACGGAGGCGCATGTCGTCGTCTGGGTTATTCAACATATGTGACCGACAACTTCAACGCGAAGAAAGAAACGAAACGTTTGGCCGAAATTAGGAAAGCCGTAAAGCATAAGAGACCGTGGTCAATATTCCTTTCGCAACCAATATTTGAGGAGGCATCTGGGCTGAAGTCCCGGGGCCGAGATGTTCCAAACGTCACAAGGTATCCGTACACTACCATCGCTAAGTCTCATTACCCCTGAAATCTTAGTTAGCTACCGGCCACCCTCCTCCCCGGCTCCTTCAACAGCAGGGGTTCCCAGTCAATTCCCATCCCGCGCTCTTTCATTGGCGTATTGGACCATACATGTAAGGGCCGGGCCGAATGGAAGGGATAAGAGAAAGAAAAAAGCTCGCCCGCGCTGTCCACCTCCACTAGCCGGCGCACATGCCGGGGTTTCGGATGCTTTGCATAAAGGAGAAGGAGGTTCTTACGATACTATAGACCAGGGGCCTAAATCCGTCACTCGTGCCAGAACAACGATGGCTCTGGGGCGGTTCAAACAGAGGCCGAGACCTTGCCACTTTCTTCGGTGTACGGTGCGTCTCTCACTAGGATATATCTCCGTGTCTCGTCATGCCAGCCCACGAAGAAAGCGTACCTTCTTTGAGGCTATGACGCGTCATTTCATCCCGGACGACAGGATCCCAGAAATGGACCGAGATCTGATCCCCAGACGTGCACGATTGCCAATTTTCTCACTGCTTCTTCTGCGTCTTCAATACCTTGCGCGCGATGGTGCTCGGTCTACCCTTGCTCCATATCCCCAGTGCTGCCCCCTTTCCCCGGACCAGCCAGTTGTCGTGCTCGCGGGTCGGAGAGGAGCATAGATTACCACGCAGAGCAACACGACCGCGGCCCTTCTGGATAACCAACCTTCACCCCTCCCTATCTACCCCCGAGGCTGACCTCTGTGTCACTGCGTGCCGTTTGTGGGCCCACCACCCACCTGGGTCTGCGAGACGCGCCGGGCCGCACGATCGCTTTCCAACTCGTGGCATTGTTGCACTCAGAGGGGCCCCAGCCTCATCAAATCCACCGCTCCTGCGTCTGGAGACCCTGGAGCCTTCGTAGTTTGCGCCGAGCCCACAGGTGTCCTCCGCCTCCATCTCAGACACCAAGAACTCTATCTTAATAGCACGATCTTGGCTTTTTGTCTTGGTTTCCCTGAGACTTATTTGAGGGCTGTAAAGGAAGGAGGAGGGGAGAGATTATGCGGGAACTTGAGGGCAAGATAGCGAGTTTATCTGTTGCATAAACCTTCGCACATGACCTCCAAGTCCTGCTTCTTATGGATTGTGAAATGAGATATTGCGGTTTAGCACTCGCCGTTAGTTAATTATAATGTACTGAAGGGGGTGTATATAGGTCAAGGTGCGCCCCGGCTGTGATACCTATTCCTGAGGTCCGTGACATGCAAGACCTCCTTCGTCCTCTCTCTGGTGTATTTGAGTCCTTGGGAGGGCCTGAGGCAGTCTTGTATCCGGGCTTTGTGTTGGGAACTGTGGTCCCGCCCCTTTCGGGAACAGAGACGCGATAGGAGCGCTGCGCTGCTCGTAACGTGGCCCTCTTGTCCCGGCGCAGCACAGAGACAGCGGGGCTTTTCGGAGCCGAACGGCTACGTGTATTTGCCATTCCCGGCAAAGGTCCCTGATGCATCCTTCATGCCCATGCACTCCGAAATGCCATCTCAAAATAGAAGCCAATGGCAGCATACCCGGGATCTAGCGCCTCGTATCTGGCGGATACACAAGACACCTGCCGTCAGACTAACTCTAGGGGATCTCTCCGTTACATCTCATGGCGGATCTTCGTGCTGACGAGCCAGCAGCACGAGCACGGGCTCTCTCCACCGTTGCATATTACGTATTGTGGTTGTTAGATGGCCCGTCCTATCAATTTCATCAAGTTGGGCGTGACATGGAGGGAGCCTGGTGTGGATGGATACTGCGCCTCGCGAATAAGAGTGAGAAATAAGAGACGGTATCTGGTCGAGCCCTGAAGACTTGGCACGATGCCGTCTGACACGACAGCGTGTTGGCCTGCAATCCCGTCAACCATAAGTGCAGCAGTAACCGGCGGCCCTGGCTGGCGGCTGATCTGTCCTACCAAGCAGAGATATCCTATGCGCGATGAAGAATACATGCACAGGTGTCTGGCTGGACTTCCTTTGCCTCAGATTTCACACAAAGCGTCGCCGCCGAATTCCGAGCGGATAACCAGTTCCTGTGCGACATTCCGTGACTGTAGGAATGTCATCATACCGCCCGATCTATCTCCAAAAGGAGTATGGTTCTTTCTGAAAAGAAATCAGCTGCGTCCGATTGGCAAAACAAGCCGCGTACCGGCAGCATAGAACCAGAATGAAGCCGACTGGAACTACGTCTATCATTGAGAAATTATTTCGATTCCGATGCAAGAGCTGCGCGAAGCAACGAGACGCATTTGAATTTCCCCTTCCATCGGGGAGTCATCCGGAACGAGATTCGTTTTTACTATCCGTACGGATCGAATCGCTACGTGTACGGACGTGCATGTCCGTACGCCTCATCCGCACGGATCCGTACGTGGTGGGGCCCCTTCTGCTATTGGCTAGCGGAATACGCGCTAAGATCTTAAGCGAGTGAGTGATAATGGAGCCGCACCTGCCCGGAGAGCCCCCGGAACCCTCCAGAGCCGCTCCAGTAGTTTTGCTAAAGGCTTCCAGCGTCCGCAGTCTCCGGTACTTGTCATGATGACTGCAGTAGATCGGCCTGGTCTGTCTGTACTGGTCTTCTAAGTATAATGACGAGGGAAGAGGGAAGAAACGCAACCGCGCATCCTCTTGGAATCTTTCAACTTGGATGCGTCGCCAGCGGCCGGACCCCGCACCTCTTCAGGGCATCCGGTATCAAGAAGCCTCCCGCACACCGCCTGGTGTAAACCGCTGTTCACTTCCCGATCTAGAGTTTGCTTGAACGATGTCGGCACTTCAATTTTCTCCATTTTCCATATCCCTTTATTTCTTCACCGGTGTTGCAGGCATGCGTGCCCCATAAACTCACCGGCCTGTCATCACGTCGACCAACGGTCTGGCCATCAGTCTCTCATGTCAGGGTCCCACCCCAGAAAAAAATGGCGAAATGCGACAAACCACATCACAATTCAGATCACTCTATTCCTTTCCGCCCGCAGCCTAATCACCGGTCAGCAGAGATCACACTGCAGGGGGGGGGGGGGGGGGGGGGGGGGGGGGGGGGGGGGGGGGGGGGGGGGGGGGGGGGGGG